TGAATAAAATTAGCATTATCGCAGCTCACTTTGGCGGCCATTCCGCTTCGCCCGTCTTCAGGTGTCTGTGTGTGCAGATAGTGTGTGTGCTTGGCTGTGTGTTTGGGGATCAATAAATATGCTCAATGACTTTTCGAGCGCCATATGATGCCTGAAAAGGCCATTAGAACCAACGCTGAGACAAGGCAATGTGGAGGTCATTCAGAGTATGCCTTCTCCAAGACTTGAATTTAACATTAAAAAATGCCCAGGGCTGAAGTTCTATACTCCATAACTCAACCAATCTTAATCGGATTTTAAAGTGGCATACCTCCAAATGTTCCTGGTGCAATTCTCTAAATATCTGCATTCAAATTTCGAAAATTTTTTTTATTTCATTTTTTTGTCATTTTTTTGATGTTATAATGATGTAAAGTTAAGATGTGTCCCAAGGCTGAAGTTCTAAAGTTCATAACTCAACCAATCTTAATCGGATTTTAAAGTGGCATACCTCTAAATGTTTCTGGCGCAATTCTCTAAAAAGCTGCATTCAAAATTTAAAATTTTTTTTATTTAATTTTTTTGTCATTTTTTTGTCATTTTTTTGATGTTATAATGTTGTAAAGTTAAGATGTGTCCCAAGGCTGAAGTTCTAAAGTCCATAACTCAACCAATCTTAATCGGATTTTAAAGTGGCATACCTCTAAATGTTTCTGGCGCAATTCTCTAAAAATCTGCATTCAAAATTTAAAAATTTTTTTTATTTAATTTTTTTGTCATTTTTTTGATGTTATAATGTTGTAAAGTTAAGATGTGTCCCAAGGCTAAAGTTCTAAAGTCCATAACTCAACCAATCTTAATCGGATTTTAAAGTGGCATACCTCTAAATGTTTCTGGCGCAATTCTCTAAAAAGCTGCATTCAAATTTCAAAAAATTTTTTTATTTAATTTTTTTGTCATTTTTTGATGTTATAATGTTGCAAAGTTAAGATGTGTCCCAAGGTTGAAGTTCTAAATTCCATAACTCAACCAATCTTAATCGGATTTTAAAGTGGCATACCTCTAAATGTTTCTGGCGCAATTCTCTAAAAATCTGCATTCAAATTTCAAAAATTTTTTTTATTTAATTTTGTGTCATTTTTTTTGTCATTTTTTTGATGTTATAATGTTGTAAAGTTAAGATGTGTCCCAAGGCTGAAGTTCTAAAGTCCATAACTCAACCAATCTTAATCGGATTTTAAAGTGGCATACCTCTAAATGTTTCTGGCGCAATTCTCTAAAAAACTGCATTCAAATTTAGAAATTTATTTTTTTTCAATTTTTTTGTAATTTTTTTGATGTTATGATGTGTAGAAATTCAACAATCTTAAGAAATGTCCCAAGGCTGAAGTTCAAAACTCCATAACTCAACCTATCTTCATCGGATTTCGAAGTGGCATACCTCTAAATGTTTCTGGCGCAATTCTCTAAAAATCTGCATTCAAATTTGGAAATTTATTTTTTTTACAGTTTTTTCTAATTTTTTGATGTTATAATGTTGTAAAGTTAAGATGTGTCCCAAGGCTGAAGTTCTAAAGTCCATAACTCAACCAATCTTAATCGGATTTTAAAGCGGCATACCTCTAAATGTTTCTGGTGCAATTCTCTAAATATCTGCATTCAAAATTAACAAATTTTTTTTATTTAATTTTTTTGTCATTTTTTTGTCATTTTTTTGATGTTTTTTTGATGTAAAGTTAAGATGTGTCCCAAGGCTGAAGTTCTATACTCCATAACTCAACCAAATTTAATCGGATTTTAAAGTGGCATACCTCTAATTGTTTCTGGCGCAATTCTCTAAAAATCTGCATTCAAATTTAAAAATTTATTTTTTTTTCAAATTTTTTTGATGGAATAAAGTCGATAAAGTGGATAAAAGTCGAACATCAACAGCCAAATGAAATAGCAATAATTTTAAGCCAAAAGTTGCATTCAAAACTATTTGCAGTTTTTTAGTCCCGACGCCCCAGCAACCAAACCTCCTCAGAGTGTAAATGTTTTTGTAGGCACACACACACATCAATTACGGGTTTTCCCCCCTGCCGCTGCCCGGAAAACTAATTGGTGGAAAATTAAGTTTTTGCGCCAAAATGATGGCAAATTGAAATGCAATCGGGGCAAAGCGGATTATTGAAAAACTTTCATGATTGAATTCTGCTGGTTGGCCCCACATCGGCCATCCCCTTCCGCCACAATACCCAGTAGCTCCGGATCCAGTAGCTCCCGCAAAAAGCGCAATGGGAACTTAATTCCGAGCAGGCTGCTCTGCATGTGTACGGTTGGTTGAGGCCCATATGCGATTGGCGGAGCTTATGGCTCTTGTGTGCCTGCCAAAAAAGAATCGAAAACGAAGAGGTAGGGGAGGAGCAGGGGAAAAGGGAAGGAGGCACGGCAAACAGGGCCAAAAATTGTGGCCCACACGGCGTTACAGCGATTTATATTTTGCTACTTTCGCTATAAAAAATAAATATGCAATAAAACAAAACGACAACGGGTTCCGACATATGCATTATTGTCCTGCTCGCTGCTCCTTTGGAAATATTTGCTAGAGAACGAAGACATAAACCTGAAAAAATATATGGCGCATTTGGCAGAAACGAAGGCAGGCGCAGGACCGAAGCCAAGACAAAGGCGTTTCTAAATGCCAGTACCACCTGCACTGCGAGAAAATTGGGACACTCAATAATAGTTCGTCATCAATGAAGATTTTGATAAGTGAATACGATGTTGATTGTAAAGGGTATTATAACAAGTTGCAGTTACATTATATATTCCCTTTACATTCCCTTTAAGATATGATATCTCAAGAATTGTTCTCACTGCGCCGCCGTAAGACAGAGAACAACAGGGCGTATACGTATCGTATTGTTCTACCAAATTGCGCTCTCAGCTGGCGCACGACTTGACTGCATCTACTGTGGCATTTGGCATGCATCAGAAAGGAGGAAAAGGGGGCACTTTATGAAGCGCGCATATGTTGCACCCCTTTCTGCACGGGCACAAAGGGCTGGATGGGCTAGGATAATAAAAATGAAGGACTCTGTGCTGTATTCCCCAGGCAAATCACTGCAGTCTCGGTCGCAGGCGATGGCTATAAAGCAAATCGTTTGACATTTGTTTTGATTTGCCATGATTGCTAAAAATATCTGCGAGACAGAAATGACATCGGCCAATGGAGATGCTTAAGTGGCATGCTGCACTCATAGCATATTATTATATGGGCGAATCACCAAAACAGCGCATAAAAACTCTAAGATCTCACTTTTTTAGTGCCCAATCGAAAAAATAAGCTTAGAATTTTGTAAGTCTTATAAAATGTGCAGTGGCAATAAAACTCTAAGATCTCACTTTTTTAGTTCCTAAACGAAAAAATAAGTTAAGAATTTTGTAAATTTTATAAATTAAAACCGCTTCCTTTTTACAAAATTTTTAACTGAATAGGAGTTCATACTCCCCCTTTACTCCTCCAAAATGCTTACAATTTCTAGTCAAAACTCCCACACAATCCTCCCTCACTAATAACCTTTTGGCACTCACTTACCCATTCCAATTGTGGCATCATAGTTTTCATCGAGTGACCCGACTGACCCTCTTAAGTGACTCCACTTTCCCGTTCAACACGGCGGCGAACGAAAGTTTCTTCTTATCATAATTTCGAAGACAATTAGCCCGCAATGTGTGCTCCTTCGATACGAGAACCCATTCCAGAAAAACCGTATCGATGGCAGCGAAACTTCGTCCGCGTCTTTGGGAGCCACTTCAAGTTTACAGCCGCCGGGGCCAAAACAATGCCAGACAATAATTGGCCAAATTTATTGTAATTAGCTGCACACGTAAGCACCGGGCATTCCATTCCATTCCCATCCACCCAGTTGGAACCACCACATGTGTCCGGACACGAAACTGCGGCGTAATTATTAACATTACAGAGGGATGCTCGTCCGGAGCTGAGAGCATGTTGTCACATGTGTGCGTGGCGCTTTGAGAACGCATTTAATTGCACAAAGCCTCTTTGCTCTTAGAGAGTTTTTAAATAATTTAGTTGTGTCGTTAGGCCGAGCACGGCCACGCCCCTTGTCAAAGGCATCTGGCAGGCAAGTCGGATGTACGGGGCGTACGGGGCGGCTACGTAATGCAGTCGAGTCACGTCACACAGCATGTCGCTAATTTTTCTACCTTTTTTTGCCACTCGGTCACAAAGTTTCCTTCACTGCAATGCGCCGGTTAAAATTTTCCCTTTTCTTTGGAAGTTGTCCCAAAAAAAGGTGGTATTTCTCGACGATGATAAATTGCGGATGAGGGTAAGGCGGGATTAGCAGGGCTTGGCTTCGCATTTTAAAATATACATTTTTTATTTAATAGCTAAAAAAGCGCTTGGCTCTCTATGTTTATGGTTGTAAATACCCTGTTTGTACGGTATTTATTTCGGAAACCCATTTAGCTTATACAAATTTGGCGGAAACCCTAAAACGGCTTACAGTTCCAAAAATATTCTTCTTCAAGTTCTATTATTCCATTGCTCATCTCTGCCCACACTCCTTTTAGCAGGTAAGATTTCGCTTTGTGCGCTTAGGAATCCTTAAAATGGCCTTTGTCAAAGGCGAGGTACAGTCACCACCTAGCGCGGTGAGCACGAGCATAACGGTATAGCTAGGAAGTGCAGCATAGCGCACGGCGCACGTTTCCTTTTTGTAAACTTTATTATTTCGTGTTAAAAGTAAATAAACTTAGCTCCCAACTTCAGCTCTCAGCCCGCAGTTCCAGAAGCTCCTCCACATCTGTCCACTTTTCCCCTGTAGATATGTGAAACGGGGAGTTCTGGGTGCTTTGGGTGAAGGGCACCTTCCATACATTGTTTGCCATTTGCGGTGGTCGGCGACAAGCACTGTCAGCCAGCCAGTCCAAATTGAAATTGGACATTAGACGCTAGCAACTACAAACAAACACTTGCACTGAGGAAAATGCCTGGTAAACACGGGCCGTTCTTTAAAACCTTTTATTTGTGATAGTGAATATTGTTTCATCTAAAAAACTGCTTTTAATCTCTTAATGAGCAATGACACCACCAGCCAAACAGGTACAAAAAGAAGCAGTTTTCTGAAAGTAAGAGGCAAAATTAGTATGCTGCTTGAATTTTTAAATGGTAAATGACTGGGCTTGCGTATTGGGGAACATACTTGTCTTTCTCGCCGTTTCCGTCAAGATAACTTCGCTTGAGGTAAGTAGCTGAACTCTGAACTTGTATGCCTAATAAATCCACTGCGTAATTGTACTAGCAGTCGGAAATGTCCGCCGTTTCTTCTAGGATCGGTAGAAGAATACACTTATATCGTTGTAACGATCCTGTAAAATCAAGGGCGGACATTCCCGACTGCGATGACATTGCTGCACTGGGTATGGAGCTCCGAATGCGACTGAAATTCAGTGCATAGGTACCACTATTTATACGAAAAGGTGAATAACGCGAAACGTTTTGATTAGAGGGGCCAACTGATAACCTTTCCCAAATATAAGACAATGTTTTTGTTGGACAAAGAAAAGCATTGCAGGTTCTGAGAAAGCGTTTACGTTTCTAATGATATCAATACCAAAGTATACTTTTAGACTGCCCCATACATGACATATGCTTGCTTTAATCACTGTGGAATCGAACCGGTTATCAAGCTAGTTTCTTCCAGTGCACGCATATATATTTAGATGGCAGCTTCTGTCGTCGCCGCGACTGCTGACAACTTCAACAACAACCACATTTGGAGCAACAACGCGAACAACAACCGAACACTAAGGCACACACTCATTGTGAATGACAACGCCCCTGGTACGTGATTTCATTTCCGTTGTTGCCTTTTGTGCATTGCTCGTAACTTGACTCCTCCATTCTGTTTTTTTATCACCCTCTCACCATTCTCACACCGAAATCCTTACTTTCCCCTGCTTTCTTGGGAAGCCTTTTTATCGGTGGATTTTGTGGTTTCTTAACACAGCCTGGCATTGCCCCAAAATTAATTTGCAGTGCATAAAAGATATAAATGTGAATCTTTACTATCCATAGTTTTGTAATGCAAAGCCATGGTAAAGCAAACAATTCAGGTTAAATACAATATCTGTATATACAATATATGCAGCAGAAACTAATAAAAGAAAATGTTTGCATATAAAACACAAAAACTTGAATGCAGACTAATTAAAACAACTTAAAATATTTTCGCAGACTTTTATAATCACAAATCAGTCTTTTAATTTGGTTATTTATCGTGTAGTTTATATGCTGCTATCTAGTTTTGGGGCAGCAACCTTTGCAGCTGCATTAATGAACAAACTTTATACTTTATTTTGTTCCATGATTTTTGAAACCAAAACATCATATATTTTGTTCATGATTTTTAGATTGATAACACCGAATAGCCATATTTAATGCCATCATTGGGAAACTATTTTAAAGAGCTCAAAATCAAAATTAGCTGGTAACCGGTTATTTTGCCTACAGAATTGTGGGATCAAATCGATTCAAATTTATTCACATTCGCCATTATCTTCACCAAAAACAGATGATGCTCCCATGTAGTTTTTCATATTTTCGAACCAAAAAATAATCACATTATTTAGAAGATTTTCTCTTCCGACAAGCAAAGGTTATTTATTGTCAGAACCCGGTAAATTTTATTAACACACAGACTGCTACTGGAGTATCACAAAACCGGCTGATACTAGATATGAACATTTAATTAGTAATTTATATAAACGACCTTTACATGGCTACTTAACAGGTCCATCTTAATTACGAGAAACGAAACTGATAAATCATCTAAATTGTAGTTTACACAAGCCCAAAAACAATCAACGCAAAGTCTTCACGTAAGTATTTATATTTATTCGTTTTGAAAACCAGGTATGATGGCCAGCCATCATAAGTGTGGTTGAATATCTAAGTGAGTAAACAATGGTTTAATTGAGATTCGCCTATGACAACATCTGCTGATATGCACAACCATAAACCGGGCCAAGTAAAAACAACATCGGAAGCCATTTGCCATGCAAATGACAAGCAAAAAAACCTAGCTGGCTAGCATGTCTACATTTACATACATGAAATATAAACAAATGCAGAAAAAGATTTGGTCGCCTGGTAGACCAAACTAAGCTCGGATACTTAACAACAAGTTTTTAAATGTTTGACCAGATGCGGGCCATGAATAGTGTGATTAACGCGTTTGCACTTGAAGTCCAAACAACACCCCGAATAATTCAGCAAGCGGTGTCCAAATCATGAAGCAATTATAACACGGCAGTACATGAAGTTTTTGACCTCTATAATAATTAAATTATTAACTAGTGGTAATTTGCAAGGGATACAAATTAAACTATCAGCCATTCAAGATAAGAGTTACGAGGAGAAGAGTTATGAATCAAGATGAATAGGAAATAATTCAAGCCGCCGCAGAGTAATGAAGCATTCATAATTAAAAATGAAATGGTATTTTGAGTATTATGCGCTTTGGGGTCCAAACAATTATACGATGTATGGATCATATAATTATGTGCTATTGAAATCTTTTCCTGAGAAACATTGGCTGAAACGCCAAGCCATAAATAGCGGAACCTTGAAATCGAATTTATAATTTTACGCTCAGACGTCAGCTAGACCCATTTTTATGACCATATGCGTGGGCAACTGGTTTCATGTAATTAATTGGCCACCAAGGGTTCCTAGGTATCCAAAGTATGGATATGAGAAAAACTATGTTTATTTTTGACAACTTACAGTATGTGTTTACATAACCGTTTGGATTGCTATTAGTCTAGACAAAAGATTCCACTAAAAGGCCTGCAAAAACGACTTCAAAACTGCTGAATAATTTCGGATTTCTTTGATCCAAAACAATGCCTTCTAACATTTGCCATGCTAGTCGTAAAACCCAACCAGTTCCTCCATCTGCATTCGCTTCAAACTATTATTGCAAGTTTTAGGCTACACCAGACGCATGTGCCAAAAATACGACATACCCATTAATCCAGCTGCCCAAAAAACCAAAGATGATCCAATAAAATATGCCGTTAGCGGTCTGCATGCAGATAAATGTCATCTAAAAGTCACTTTTGGTGTTGCCAGCTAACACGGCTTAGGACCATCTATCTATCTATCAGCTACTCAATCTTCATTCTTTAGATCCAATAAACCTCTCCATCGAGCGCTTCTCCATTCTGACGACTGACGACCCCCAAAAAAACCAACCAGAAAAAAATCTCATCTGCGCTGAATATTCAGATGAGCCGTTAACGATGATCTTCGGTCGGCCTGAGGTTCAGTTCAAGTTTTGGGCTCGGTCTTGTATAAATAGTTAGCCATTGAGCCTCATCAGACAGAAGCTTTTCGATCGCTCTTGAAGTAACAGATTGCAGCTGTCATCATGGTGAGCTTACCCACCTGGATGAAGGATCAAGGATTATATTTCTAAACGCTTTGGTTGCTTGGCTTTTCAGAAATTCCTGGTTGTTGCCTTTGCCGTTCTGGCCTGCGCCTATGGAGATGTCTCCCATTTGGGTTACGACTACTCTCCTCCGGCCCCGGCTCCGGTCTACCAGCCTGCTCCGGCTCCGGTCTACCAGCCTGCTCCGGCTCCGGTCTACCAGCCTGCTCCAGCTCCGGTCTACCAGCCTGCTCCAGCTCCCGTCTACCAGCCTGCTCCGGCTCCCATTCCAGTCTCGATCCCAGCTCCAGCTCCCGTGAGGGCCTATGTCCCACCCGCACCCATCAGCATCCCGGCTCCCGCCCCAGTGAACACCTACATTCCTCCCGCACCTGCACCAGCTCCGGTCTACCAGCCTGCTCCTGCTCCCATTCCAGTTGCGATCCCAGCCCCTGCTCCCGCTCCAGTTGTGATCCCAGCCCCTGCTCCCGCTCCAGTTGTGATCCCAGCGCCTGCTCCCGCTCCAGTTGTGATCCCAGCCCCTGCTCCCGCTCCAGTTGTGATCCCAGCGCCTGCTCCCGCTCCAGTTGTGATCCCAGCCCCTGCTCCCGCTCCAGTTGTGATCCCAGCTCCAGCTCCCGTGCGTTCCTATGTCCCACCTGCACCAATCAGCATCCCAGCCCCGGCTCCCGTTTACCAGCCAGCTCCCATCAGCATCCCAGCCCCGGCTCCCGTTTACCAGCCAGCTCCCATCAGCATCCCAGCTCCCGCTCCCGTCTACCAGCCAAGCAACACTCAGGTTCTGGAGGAGATCGAGCCCATTTCCAATGATGGATACCGCTACAAGGCCGTGCGTCGTCGCGTCTTCCGTCACCGCTTCTAAATTTACCAAAGCCCAACGACAAACTGTTTCCTAACGAATCCCTACGGGGACTCGCAATAAAAAATGTCCGCCTTCAATTTGTTAAACAAAAAGAAAAGTCTTCAAATTGTTTTCCAATCATAGCAAATCACACGGGCAACAGGAGGAAGGGAAACTCTTAAGTTTGCTCTGGCCATTTGAGTTGGAAATTTATGAAACCCAAAGAGATGGCGAGACTGGTGGAATCAACTTGCCATCGGACAGATAGTGTCGGCAGGGGGCGGGGGCGGGGGCAGCGGAGGATAATAAGGAGTTGCAAGCAAGTTGCGGAACACTCCCAAAGGATTCGATTCGATGGCGGACTCCGCAGTCCTCGCCACTCCACATTTATCACGAAATTTATGGCCTGGAATGAGCTTTGATGATGTGGAAATTTTTTCTCGTTAGATTCAAAAGTTTTCAGATGCACTCAGAAAGCGGAAAATTTATGCTATGCAACTTATACAATTAAATATGTACATCCAAGGACACGGAAATGGAGGTAAATATCGATTTGATTAGGAACTCCCTAAAACACAAAATTGTATACCGTTCCTGATTAGTTTTTAGTTCTGAACCATTTCGAAATTCTTTTTAAATCTTTCAAAAAAATCTTCAATACATTCCTACCTCAAATACTGTGTGACTTGCGAGTAATTTGGGTAATATTTTTGTCGGTGCACCCACACGAAATCGATGAAGCTGGAGCGGCAGCTCAAAATGTAGATGGAGCCGAGTGGATTGGCCTCATCAGACGACCACTGACCACTTGTGGCTGCTAACAAGTGGCAGGATGAAATCGAAGGCGCTGCAGGAAGAAGGACATCGCCAGACGATGGACGCTGTGGAAAATTAACAAGAAAATGCAGCGACAAATGTCTACGGAGCTTTTCCTCTCACCAATTTGATTAGGGAAATGTCTGGCTGGTTGGCTGGTTGGGTCTCCAAATCCACCACATTCTAGTCTGAATGCCGGAACAACCGCAGAGCCACATATTACACTTGCCACGGCGCATACTAATTAAAAGCACAAAGGCAAACGGGAAGCTACTAAAATTAATTGCGTAATTAAAACAAAATCATTTTTTGTATCCACTCCCTTTGGCCCAAGCCGCAATAGATTGATTGTCCTGGCTTATTTCGTTAATTGCATTCTGGTCAAATATTGGCAGCTCAATTAAATGAATTAAAACACATTTTTGCTTTTATGCGGACTGGCATGCAGGAATAGAAAATCCTTTGTGGGCGGAAAAATAGGGGCTACTAAAATCATTTGACAGGCAATTACAATTTAGAGACGATTCGGTCATCCGCATGCCAACAACGCTGATTAGTTTGTGTGGCGGCCAAATGAAAATCTCCCTGCAGTCACTAGTTTTCACTAGTAATTTAAAAGAAATTTTTATGCTTACCTATGTCACTTGAATTGTTTGCTTCCGACTGCTCACTATGTGATTGATGTAATTTAATCTGAGCAGCACCCACGCATGGCAGCACTTTACTAATCCCCGCCAGCGATTAGTTGGAATTGCAGTAGTAACTGCAATGTGGCAGGGATTGGGTGATTTTCAGCCCCATTGCATTCTGCTCTGCCAGCCAGAAGGGCTGGCGATTTTATAAAAAGGAGCCAGGTATGGCGGACACCCAACAATTGACAGTTGGTTGCACTCCCAACCGCACTTAATTAGCAGTTAATGATGCCTGATTAACACGCATTATGGCTGCTGCGACCCATCGGCGTGGCCGGAGGAGCAGTTCCGGCCCAGTGCCACCCAAATGCAGCCCATTTCGGTTTCAACCCGTCGGGCAGATGGTCTGCAAAATGCGTAATCAATGCTTTAGGCGCCGTGGATTACAAAATAATCACCCCCTTCGCCGGCCTAAAAGTATGCAGAAGAAAGTGCTCGAATGGAAAAAGTGAACATGCGCTTGAAAAACCATAAATATCATCACTTTGCAGCTATGCGAATAACTGATGCCCTTTCGGGCACTTCAAAATTTTAGAAACCTTTTTTAATAGTTTCACTAAACTATAAGCTAAACTAAACTGTGGGAAATTGCATATTTTACTAATAATCTGGATACTTGTGAACTGGTATTTTCTCAGCGACAGTTGAACTTACCAAAATACCCTTCACTCTGGGCTACTCAATAAATCGGGCGTAAAAACTGACGAGTCCCTCGAACTCGAACCCGTCGAAATCCCAGTTGTTGGCCGGCTGGCTTACGGCTTTAAAGCGGCGAAATCGAACGTGCGGAGTGCACATGGATATGGGACATGGATCGTTGGGAAATTGACAGTATCAGCGTAATTATATCAGCAGTTGGGGGGGGGGGGGGGGGGGGGGGGGGGGGGCCAAAAACGAAAAACGAAAAACAAAAACAAGACAGAAAAACGACAAAGTCACAAGGGCGGGAAAATGGTGGGGCTGCTGGGGCGGCGGCCACTGAAATATGCAAACGTTGACTGCCTTCATTTATTTTTACTGTTACTGCATATTGGGGCGCCACCGGACGAGGGGCAGCTGGACTGGGAAGGTCCGGGCAAGAGGCGCGAAAATAATCGTTATCCTGGACAGGTGGGTACTCGATTCCTCTCGCGTTCGATGCCAGCAGTTGCACTTCATTTGCAGCATTAATTTGTCGCCCGTTGATTTATCTGGCCCAGGTATATATACATATATATGTATATATTTGCATGCACACACTTATAGAGATATATACCGGCGCGGCGAATGAATTTATGAGTTGGGGCCCATCGAGCGTTGAAAAATGTGGAAAATCGATTGGCAAGTGTTTCGACTTCAAGTCTGGCAAGTCAGCGAGCTGCAATTTTGAATATTTATGAAATCAATTTTGCACCAGTAATGCAAATTAGTTATGCAAATAGTGTTAATGCGAATGAAAGCGAAAGGGATCTAGGCGATAGCTTCTGTTAACTCGAAGCGCGTGTATCCAAAATCAATCGAATAAATATTTAAAAACTATTTATATATACTTCATTAGAATGGACGCAGCGGTTCAGTGAACCAAAAAATTAATGCATTCAAATAAAATGAAAATATTAATACCCAAGTTATCTTTAAACATTTCGATCCTTTCTGGGCATAGTTTCAAATTCTCCAATGCTGCACTTTGTCCCATTTTTGAAGCACTTCTAGGGGAACGAACTATATATTCTCCTTTGGCCCTCGGATGACGCCACCATGCACTGCATGTCAACTATTAACGGGCAAACAACTAAATAACGTATACGCAGTGTTGCATGACTAGCATGCCATTGCGGCTGTGTATGTGCAGTGCTGCCATAGAGAGTGTTTCTGTATTTGTTCGAAATACATTTGCAGTTTCGGTTTATTGGCGCTGCGAAAATAATGGAATGGAATCAAAATAAAAGGGGTTAAGTGCTTGTTTGCATAGCTTTTTGACAACAGCAACACTCCGTTCCGCCGCCCACCGCCTCATGTGCATGCCATTCGTACTTTATTTTTAGACTCCGAGGAAAACAAATTCAACGGAAATTAAATCACTTCGGCGTCGGGAAGTCTCCGCGGATTTTTGGCACCAACCGGAAAATTGTTCATTAGCAATTTGTGTAATTAAAAAGAGAGAGTGCACGGGCACAAAAGTGCTGTCCTTCACAGCGCTGGATGGTATTCTTCCCTTTCCCCACTTAAGGCGGCAAGTGGCCCCACAACTTCCCTTCCTGGCTAATTTGTTTTCGGCTTGGCAGTGACACATGGGGACAGTCTGGTTGGCGACATGTTCAACTTTTGACCCGATCGAAGCAGCTACCGCTTGCTAATTTCGGAGATTCCCTGCCATCTGGTCGGGCTTTAAAATAGCACTGGGAGAAAAAGGGTAGGTAGATTTTGTCTTGAAATGTATCTTTAAACTTATAATTTGGTGATGACTACAAGAGAAACATTGAGTAGATTGATTAAAGACAACGAGGCCTTTTTCCCCGTGTAATTAGGCAAAACGCTTTTGTTTTTAGCCAACTTATCTTAGCTAATCAAGCAGATTAATGACCGCCTGAACTCGCCAATCGTCTGGCGCTTGTAGACAAAACAATCCGTGGGCTGTAGGCCTTTATTGCCAAAAGCCAGAGAGTTGGTTTCCAGTTTTCGAGCAGCTTTATTTTTGGCAGTTCAATTTGATACACTAAGGCACTAATGTTTTATGCAAATGATATTTAAATGAAGACAATGGCAAAACAAGCAAGTACGAGTCGAACTAGACGGACTGTCGTCTTGCTCTACACAAAATGATGCACAACTAGGTGAGCGTCGGTCGAAACAACTGCTCCTGGTGAGCGTAGGGTATCACAGTTGATCATTGGCGTGGCTCGTAAAATTCTGGTTTCTGTGTTATTAAGAGACTGTGATATCCGCACTTCTTCGCTCGTATTAATGTTTATTTTTCGCTTTTGCACCGCGCCCAGCTTTGATATAAATACAACCTGGCAGATGAATCCAAACCATACTAGAAACGTCCACGTTCCAAGTAACATACATCCAAAATGGTAAGTATGAAATCGAAAGGCAATGCCATGAGTCCTGCTGACTAACTTGGTGAATTATTTTGCAGAAATTCCTGGTTGTCGCCGTCGCCCTCCTGGCCGTTGCCCACGCCGATGTGTCCCATCTGTCGGGCTACAACTATGCTCAGCCAGCTCCGCTGCCCGTGGTCGCTCCCGCACCCATCAAGGTTGCCCCCGCTCCCGTGAGAACCTACATTCCCCCCGCGCCGGCGCCAGCTCCCATCCAGATTGAGGTTCCCGCCCCAGCACCCGCTCCCGTGGCCATTCCCGCTCCCGTGGCCATTCCCGCTCCCGCTCCTGCGCCCGTGAACACCTACATTCCCCCCGCGCCGGCTCCAGCTCCAGCTCCCGCTCCAGTTGCCATCCCCGCTCCCGCCCCCATCAAGGTTGCCCCCGCACCCGTGAACACCTACATTCCCCCCGCACCCGTGAGCATCCCAGCCCCGGCTCCCCTGCCCATCAAGGTCGCTCCCGCTCCCGCCCCCGTTCCCGTCCTGGCCCCTCAGCCCGCTCTGGAGGAAATCGAGCCCGTGTCCGCCGATGGCTACCGTTACAAGACCGTCCGCCGTGTGATCCGTCGTCGTCGCTAAAGAGCTGCTCTAGCGGAGATCCCCGCCAGTAGGAAGTTCATTAAATAAAAAGAAAAAAGTTACTATCTAAATCTAAATTGTGTTTGTCTTTAAAGTCCATCATATCATATCATATGTGTATCAACATTAATCTAGGCACTATATCCTTTTCCTTCACATTTCTTATACCAGTTTCAGTTAGCCTTTGTTGTTTAAGGCTCGACTTGAAGCTCTTAGAAATTGATTTGATTTCCAGGTATAAAATTGCACCTAAGAAATAGTAATTAAGCAAACATAAAACATCAAAAACTCAAGGAAAATGTGATGCAGAAGTACAAGAAGTCAAGGAAAATGTGATACAAAAATATATAAATATAAATATAAAGAATATAAAGAGTAAATCCCATTAGACTAGAAACCAAAACACACAAGACCAGCTTCATAGATAAGCATTTTTGGCTTTTTAGCAATCACATCTCTGGCTATTTATGTGCACCACCCGAAAACGTGTTCATCATCTGCCAGCCAAGTGATGCGACGTAAAAATATAATATATTATTTGCCAGGTGTTTGCCAGAAGCAGAGTCTATCCGGAGCTGAGTAATTAATTAAGCCAGACATTTTCAAGATCAACATAATCTAAGCAAATTGAAATTAATTTTGGCACAAACTTGAAACGACTTTATAGTCCCGACGGCGAATATTTCGCAGCGCTTCAAAAAGAAGCCAGAGAACCGAAAACAGAAAACAGAAAAAATAATCCAAGCGAATTAAAATGATTATTAAAACATAAGCCCAAGCCAATCTTGCGTGTGACCCACGACCATTCATCAAGTTGGCAAACAAAACCAAAATGACAAAAAGCAAATTAAACCATTAAACAGCAGCAACAATAGGTTGGTTCGATCTAATTAAAGAAGCATCTGCAGCATCTGCAGACTGAAACAAAAAGTTGGCCCAGTCAAAGCAGCGATAATACGCTTTGGAAACAAAAACTAAAAACTAAAAACTAAAACTCAAAACGAAAGCCGAAAGCCGAAAACGAAACCAGAAAACCCGTCAAACCGCCTTGGCATTGGAGGCTCGTTGTCGTGTGTTTGGTATCGGTTGTCTTCCGACTTTTTCGAGTGAGGTGAAGACCCCCATGTATCATGGGGCATCGTGCAATTAATTTGGCTCCGGTTGACCCGCAGCCCCACAAAACAATGAGCTATAAAAACCGTGGTCACACTTCGAGCTCAGCAGCACAAATCAACTTGCGATCCAAGCAGCAACAAGCCCATCTCCCTAAGATGGTAAGTGCGCGGATTACAGTGCCTTAAGGATAATCTCATACTGTGGGTTACCATTTCCATTTCCATCCTAGAAATTCCTGGTCATTGCCATCGCCTTCCTGGCCTGCGCCTACGCCGATGTCTCGGAGCTGGCTGCCGGAGGATACGACTACCCCGCTCCGCCGGCGCCTGTGAAGAGCTACATTCCCCCACCGCCACCGCCACCCCCGCCAGCGCCCAAGAACACCTATATTCCGCCCCCAGCCGCACCTGCCAAGGCCTACATCCCACCCCCACCGCCACCACCGCCACCGGCGCCCAAGAACACCTACATCCCGCCAGCACCTGCCCCAGTTGCTCCCGTGGAGACCTACATCCCACCAGCACCTGCCCCCGCCCCCGCCTACATCCCGCCCGCTCCTGTCCAGGCCGAGGAGCCCATCATCGAGGAGATCGAGCAGCCCGCCCAGGACGGCTACCGCTACAAGACCGTCCGCCGCCGCGTCTTCCGCCACCGCAACTAAGTGCGTGACTCCCAATTGTTGACTAATGTGATAGGCCGTACGCAGAGATCATTTGCGAGGTATCAGTTGATGTTTTCTTTAAAGTTTGAAGAAGAAATAAATGATAAAACAGCACAAAGTCTCTATTACCTGGAATTGCAAGTTGTTAGGTCACGAATTTGCTGCTTTAAATTATAGGTAGTTCTTCTATGTTAGATAAATTAAGTAGGCTGGCAAAAGTCGTCGAAAACACAACATGGGCAACATGTGCCCGCAAAGGGATCAGAACATTAGTGCCACCGGAGGGGAGGAGCCTTTCCAGAATGTGCCTGATTAGGGAAGGCCATGGTGGACGCAGAAGAGTACCCTGTTGCTTGGCCAGGTGGCTGCCAGCGCTCATAATCCTGGGCGCCTTGGTATGGTCCTACCACGTAATGGTCTACCAGATCTGCATGAAGAGAGTGTCGGACTACTTGACCAAGGGGCTCCTGCTCTTTTTCTACCACTGGCTGCTGCTCATGTTCTTGTGGACATGGTTTCGGTGCATATTCGTGGCTCCAGTGAGGATTCCCGAGCAATGGAAACTATCTGCCGAGGATGTGGACAGATTGAGGCGAAACGACGGAGCAGAGGGAGCAGCTCGAGTCCTTAGTTTTGCAGCAAGAAATTTGCCCATTGCCACCTGCACCAGCGATGGACTAGTGCGATATTGCAAGACTTGCTGGTTGATCAAGCCAGATAGAGCTCATCACTGTCGCACCTGCCACATGTGTGTCCTGAAAATGGACCACCACTGCCCTTGGATAGTGAACTGCGTCCACTTTCACAACTTCAAGTACTTCATGCTCTTCCTGTTTTACGCTGAGCTCTATTGCTTTTATCTGCTCTGCGTGATGGTCTATGACTTGTACCTTATCTGCGACTTTGAGCTGACTCACTTGAAGGATCAGCATTCCTGGAACGTTCTGCAGTACTTGGTATGCATTCTCTTCAACATATTCACCCTGATCATGTACATTGTCAGCTTGATACACGTATCTCGAAATCGCACCACCATGGAATCGGCCTATCATACATACTTCTTCGCTGGCGGCAAGAGCAATAGTGGTTTCAATTTGGGCTGTTTTGCCAATTTGCGAGAGCTTTATGGCGACAAGTGGTACCTCTGGCCCTTGCCCATCTTCTCCAGTCGTGGTGACGGATTGTCGTTCCCAATAGCCCACGATCGACTAAGGAAAGTACGCGTCGATAAGCAGGAGAAAGATAATGCGCCCAACAGAGCTCAGATTTACAAGGAAAACGTGTCCCGAATTCTCGGCATTCATCAGCCGCCATTCAACGACGAATAAGTTGTCACAAAATTAAAATTCAATGTTTCACTTTTATCACCGTACAAGTCTTAGTTTCCATTTCAAAGCGAAGAAAAGCCCGCACCCTCAGACAATTGGAAAAGTAGGGACTCCATCTACATCTTAATTTACGAGTCACTGGCAAGTGCATCGGCATCGGACTCCGTCCGCCTGGCAACTGCAATCCGCTGGCCATTTCTTGGACCCGCTGAGTGGCCAACATCGATAAATCCTCGGCATTCCGGCTCTGTAGCCGCATCGGAGTCGTTTATAAAACGCTTAACATTCGTGACATATTTCGCATTTGGCCGCGCGTCGGGCGCAGAAATTTATAGACTTTATCCATTAGGAAAACAATTACGAGTGCAAACAATGGCCAATGTGCGGTGTCCAGTGGATGGACTCCCCGGCCAGCGGCGATTCCTCGGGCACTGGAGCATATGTTGGGATTGTCGCGCCCCCAAGTTCAATGTCCTCAACTATATTTTCTTATTATGCTGCGGCGACTTCTTGACTGCTGCAACACAAATCCAATTACCTTCAAAATAATAAACTTATGTACATACCAAAAAGGAAAAGAATGCCATCCAGGGTCCTTCCATTGCTCCGGCTGCCTCTACGCACATTTTGCTTTATCAACTGTTGATAGACTCCGTGGGGAATTTTCCGTATGTCACGACAAAGAGGACGATGGAAATGGAAATGGGAGCTGTCTGCCGTCGGGCGGCATTTTTCCTCATGCTCCTGTAGTCTGAGGTCTGAGTCCTGTCCCGCTCTCGCATGCACTGGGCGAAATCGAATCCATGTTCAAAACCTATATTTCAAACATAATTGGTTTTCTAGCACTCGATTTTTTTTAACGGAGCCGTACATTGCAATATTTTAGAATTTTGCATTATTTTACATTTTGCTAGAATTTCGCTCAGTGTCTGGCCCATAGCTTGCTGATTTCCACAGCTTGTTTGCTGCTCATTATTCGCCTTTGGCTGGTCCGGAGACGTGGAAAGTTGGTCGCCAAATGCACGAGCGCAAATAATTTTTGCCACTTGCATGTCATCAGCATAAAGTGAGTGCAAAATATGTGAACTCGACTTGGCAGCGGAAATTCGCCTTAGAGCGCAGAGTCAACAGCAATTGGCCCAAATGACTTGTAAGGGCCGTCGTCGGAAGACGGAGCAAATATGGTAGGAGATGGAGGTGGAGGCGGAGGCGGAGGTGTCCTGCTCAGCCACATGTCCCTGTCGCCAACTCCCAACTCCCATCTCCAATCTCCCTTTCTGTCCAGCCAACCAGCCAAGCAGCCAACCAAGCAACCGCTCGCAGCTTATTGAATTCGCATATTTCCCCATTTTGCATTATGGGCAAACATTTTTTCCATTTCGGCATCCTTTGTTTTTGTGCTCTGTTTGATTTTGTAATCGAGGATTTGTTTGCTTTGGCTGGGGCCAATCGATAGCCGGGAAAGGGGCAGCACTTTTTGTCCCTGCTCATTGAATGTTTCAGCAATTTTTGGTTAAGTCAAATTGGTCTAGTCGACGGTTTGACCTTTTTACTGCCAGACTTTCGAAAGGGGAAGAGAAACCATTGGAATGCCAGTGTTGGCCCGAACATGTGTTTGTCCTTGAGCGGTTTGTTTAGGCCTTTGTGGGTTGGTCGGGGTTAAAGAGGGTTGGATGACGGGAAAACGGCAGAGGGGGTGATGGCTATCGCCAAGAAAACCCCATTCAAATGGCGACTTTGGCTTTGCAAATTGAACTTGGGAACTTGGCCGATGGGAACCTGTTGATAAGGCGATTGAATTTAAAAACTGTCCTTCCATACATCGAATTATTTGAACTTGAAATAAGTTTGTGCTGTTCTGAATGAACTGTTTTTAGTAACTCTGGACTATGGTAAGATTTTCTTGCAAACTTGCAAATAAGATTTTGGGATTTTTGTATAAGTATCAAGGTGGCGGTATATTTTCCTGTTAACTAAACTTTGACAACGACCAAAGAAGTACAAGACAATGCATAATTTTTCAGTTATTTACTCTGCAAGTGAATTTCTGAAGATGGTATTCCACAATCGCACTCGAGTCAACAAATCAACAATAACAAATGGCATTCAACTTAGTTGCGGTGGCGGAAGACGCGGCGGCGGACGGTCTTGTAGCGATATCCGTCCTGGGCGGGCTGCTCGATCTCCTCGATGATGGGCTCCTCCGCCTGGACAGGAGCGGGCGGGATGTACTCGGGTACAGGTGGTGCAGGTGGGATGTAGGTCTCGACGGGAGCAACTGGGAGAGGTGCTGGTGGGATGTAGGTTTCCACGGGAGCAGGAGCTGGCTGCTGGTAGTCGTAGCCAGATAGCTCCGAGACATCGGCGAAGGCGCAGGCCAGGAAGGCGATGGCAATGATCAGGAATTTCTGAACATGTATAAAATAAAAAATGCATGTTCAATAAACATATCGTAACAAACAAAGTTGATGGTAAATATTTGGTACAGACAAGACCAAGAGCAGGCAACTCACCATGATTTCAAGTGTTTAGACTGCGCTCAACGAAAGATGTGTGCTGTGGATGCGGTGATCTCCAATGGCTTTTATATGCCCAAAACTGCGTGGCCAACTCATGCCGGCGGCAACGGAAGCACCACCAGACCCAAATGACTTTGAACTTGATCTGTGGGCTGATCTTCAAGCGCTCACCAATGAGTTGATCGATGAATCCGGCCGCATCGAACCGGTTGGTTGTCCGCCAGCTTTGGATGCACAAGCCATAACTTGAATGGAAAAACTTTGATCACGTTTCGACTATTTGCTTTTGTTTGCCTAATGCATCGCTAGTCCCATTGTCTTCCAAAGTGGTCAAGTGATGACTTCGTTTGAGGTCGAATTCGTATCGAAAGTCTTGACTTTTGCCTTTTGTTTGACGCTCGAGGCGCAGCCCTTTAATTGATTTGCTTGTTGAACACGGCCTTGTGAGTCGGCCCCCGCATGGAAAATACATGAGTCCCTGGCTCTGCTTGATTAAAATCAAATTTAATTTGCATCGCAGTTTTGCTGGTTTATTTGGTTTTGTTGTTATTAAACGGCCGGGGGTTTATGGCTGGACCTAACCCCAATTACAAAACTCGAAGGGACTGCAGCTGCGAAGTTGAAGTGGAGAAAACGTTCTGTGAAAGGCTATCTGGAATTAAACAGTGGGAGAATTCGGAAATTTAACTAACTTAAAATTAAAATAAAATTGGTTTTATGTTCAACTGAACCATTTCTTAAAATTAAGCGATTTGTAAAGCCATTTTAATCACTTTTTTAAAACAGAATATCTTAACAAAACGATTACCTTATAGATGTATTTAATAGCCAATACTGTTTTCACTGTTATAAGTTATCCATTGCTTCCGCTATTTATCTTCATCTTTGGTATTCAATTCCACCAGGTTTTTCCGACTGCCTTGGCATGTTTTCATTTCGGTTTTTATTCTCATGGCCAGCATTTTCATTTCTTCGTTTGGCTTTCCACTGTTGTCTGTCTTGTAACTTTTGTAGCTTGATAATATTGCAAATAATTTTCTTTTTTATGTTGATTATTTTTTGGACACCCTCCGCAGACACCTGAGACTCACCTGGTACGGCCCCTCCTCCCTTTACAACCTTTTTTATTAACTTCGTTTTCATTTGTGCCGTTGCCTTCACGAGCTCATCATATTTTAATGTGGAAGGGATTCGGCGGCATCGTCTTTTGGCTTTTCTCTCCAGCTCCTCGGGCTGTTCTATGTTTCAAATTATTCTCAAGAGATTTGCAGTTCGTGATTTTCCGGCAGCCAAGGAGGGCAGGGGGCTGCGAAAAGCCACCCCCCCTCGTTTTCAAAATGGGGCTGGAAGCCGCTGTGAGTTAAGACATTTCCCGAATGCAATTGCAGCTTTGGCTTTTAATTACCCCGCTTAAGTCCGTATTAACTCTGGCCTAAGCCTTTTTTAATTTGCCCCCACCACGCCGCCAGCTGTCGTAATTGAATTAGGAGCCAGGAGACAATGCAGCGTCGCTGAACCTTTCACGCTGTTATCCTTGATAATTAATTTAGACGCCATTGTCCAGTGCACTCCCCTGTTGGCCGGCCGGCTCCCGCGGCAAATCCTTTGCCATTTCACATCACGTGCGACGCTCTACTCGTCCTGCTGCTGTTTCTTTTTTCATAAATCGCCAGGACACACACAAAGTTGTCCAGCTGCAAAGCTGGAAAAATGGTGTGGAGAAGGAACTCCCAAAAAAAAAAAAAATAGTGGACGAAGATTCCCAGTTTTATGGGAAAAAAATGAAGCGGCAGTTTTGACAACGCACGTTCAACCCAAAAGAAGGAAGGACTACACTGCCAAACAAGAATTCAAGCTAAAATGCTGTTTCTGAAATGTGGCTTAAAGTGCGAAAATTAAATAAAATTAAGTCCGTGAAATGCGTGAAACCAAATCAATATATATCTATTTCTATCTCGCAGCCCTCACTTAATTTCGCTCAGTGCAGAGGGCATGGCTGGGTCATGTGGCTTGCATATGGAACTACAATAGACAGGTACAAGATGCACACGTAGCACGCATTGCCAGAGTCCCAAGAAACGAAATATGGAATCACCTTTTGTAAGTTCGGGGCCATGAAATCGAGTTTACATCTTACTTCTCTGTTGGCAGCGGCCATAATTAAATGTCAAAAATGACGCTACGTGCAGAGCAAGCAAATCGGCTGGCGAGTGCCGGGGCAAAGTTCACAAAAAACGGTACTTGCCATGTCAAATAGCATCAGAGTTTATGCAACTTTATCCAAATAAACTTATTTTAAGCGATATAATCGTAAAGTTCTCAGCACAGAAATTCTTGCATACTTTTGCTGTCACTACTAATTGCTGAGTGCTACAAACCACGAGACATGAGGACCGGGTTCGATTCCTAGCCAGGTGCCTATTTTTTTTCCCACAAATTTCATTTTCCTTTTTTTCTATTTTTACTACCTAAGAATTTGCTTCCTCCAGCACCAACTTGTTGGCAACTTTGCTTGATATCAATTTATAATTTCTATTATCAAGAATAGCCATTTGTAATCGCTTAATTTAGTGCCACAAACTTTTACACAAAACGGAATACAAAATAACGAAAGCCCTGCAAAAGAAAAAAATGGCCCCAAAAGTAATTTAACATTGGTGCAGTTTCACCCTCACATCCGCCACATTTGCAAAACTCTCGAAAAAGTAGCTGAAACTATTTAAAGTTTCCTTTTGCTGCTTTACCCTCAATGTGTATCGTACTTTTTATTGCCATTCGCTATTATTTGTTGCCCCTCTGTCGTTGCATATGCATATTATGCCCCCGAGGCATAGGAAAACACTTCTCCACCATCTCTGCCCCGGCGAAAGCCAGACAACAGCAACGACTGCGATGGTTATGAAAAAGTACTTAACGTGCACAAAACTTATGTGCCAAGAGATTTTATTTTTTCCTCATAGTCGGGTAAAAGTTACAACGACATGCCAATTTTTCAAAGGACCAGGGGGCCGACACACATAGGTACTCCAAGGGAAGCAGGGTGGTCTTGGCAAGCTTATAAAATATTGCCAATAATACGTTGTTAGCGAAGAGTTACCTCCCCGAACGCAGAACGCAATTCTCCTGGCAGCCAAACTTTTAATGCACTTCCCCGAATGCACAAACAGAATAACGAAACTAGAGAACTCTATTCAAAAGAGGCCAGCATTCCCACAACCACTCTCTACTTAATTTGTCATAATACAAATCGTAACCAAAAATGAATGGCTGCAATAATTATCAAGGAAGTTTCTGACCATTAAAATAAGGGAATATGATTGTTGTTCACATTTGGGAACATATATCATAAACATACATAGACGACAGAAATCCAACTTCACGAAATATAAAATACTAATAACTAAGCAATACTTAAATAATTGAATTTGATTTTAAATTGATTTGCAAAAAAGGGGGCACCACTCAGAATTCGCTCTATCCGTTTCTACCGAGCGATCATCGAAGCCCTGCGTCCCGAAAGATGCGAAGCACCAAAAGGACACTGGACAAATCCTCACGCTGCCGAATAGAACGATTCAACTCATCAACGCGGGTGCACTCAGCTTTCATCTAGTGTGAAAGTATGTGAAGACTGACTACAGAAATGATCCTGTGAAGTATAGTCTTAACTTTTCGCTGCCCAACCTGTGGATCTTGGTGCGCTACGGGCCAGAACCAGTTGGGAATTATAAGAGCGTGCGCACGAACAAATTGAACAGCACGCGCGGCGATAAGTGAGCGATGTATCTGTCCGTAGGAGGGGGAGGGGGAGAATAGGTTCTTGTACGTTTCTTGTTCTTCTTGCTTGACAATCGTTGGCGAAGATCGGAAGAATAAAAATTATGGCAAATAAGGGATAAAAAAAAAACTTGGCAGCGGTGGGATTCGAACCCACGCCTCCGAGGAGACTGGTGCCTTAAACCAGCGCCTTAGACCGCTCGGCCACGCTACCTCGATGTGCCGCATGTCCAACACTCATTAAGAGATAAAGCGAGAAAGCAACGAGAAAAGTCAGACTTCTGGCGGAAAATTGTACTTTGAAATTGTGGTATATTTCAGCATTTCTTTGGAGATTTTTTTTCTTCCACAACTACTCCTTATTGTCCCAAGTGATTTCGCAGCTCTGCGGTCTTGACAAAACTATTTTGTCTAGTCATTCATTTCATTTACTGCTCCTTGCCGGCGAGCATATTAAGTGGACATCCGCCTAACCGAGTAAAGCGCTCGGAATGCGGCTATTGTTCTGTTTGTGTCGGTGGAATTTCAATTTGTCAATTGTTTGAAATTTAATTTGATTCCAACATACCAGCTGCCCAACATTCTTGGTAATGCCCACAATTAACTCCATTAGCGTTTTTACCTGGCCGGTCTCAGATGACTCACCTCTGTCCGCTCGGATTGTACGTGATTTTTTGTGTTTTCCCAGCAGCTGTCTGGAGTGGAAATTTAACAATTTTATAATTATTTCCATGTCGCTCCCCTTTAAATTTGTATACAAATCCACGTGTGTGGCAAAATATTCCCATTGCTGACGCGGCTTCCGACTTTTTGCTCCCTTTTTCGGTGGCATTTTAATGAAACCACAAATGCTGCCTCACAACCCCTTATTTCGGCTACGGACAGCACCCTTATGGAAACCGCAGACTTTATTTTGTTTTGCTTCTCGTGCCGTGCAAAGATTTTTATTGCAATTTTCTAATTTCATTGCGGAGTCTTCTGCCCAACTCCGATGCCGGCTTCAGTTTATGGCTGCAACAATGGGACGCCAGTCAGCCCAAGCCCAGAAATTGTTGCTGCGGTTGCATGTGTGAGCTAGGAGACCACGACCACCGCCTGTCACGCATAAATTCGCATTTTCATTTGAATTTTAAACACATTTCAGAGCTGACGCTGCCAGGAAAAAACGCTGACAGTTTTGCAAAATACATATAATAAATATTTTAATGCAGCAGAGCGGCGAAGGAGTAAGGCTTGCTCCAGAAATTGATTTCGTTTGATTGACATTCTCTTCTCTGACTCTTCTCCAAATTAGAGCATTTATATGCGCAGCAGTGTGGGTGGCAAAATAAAGACAAGGTGTTGCGCCCATAAAAATAGTTCCACTGGCATATATATTTACTTCTTATGTGCCAGTCTTGTTAGAACGTCTCAGATGCTATCTAGCGTCTATTCATGAGCATTGGACATGCGCCCCATCGAGGTAGCGTGGCCGAGCGGTCTAAGGCGCTGGTTTAAGGCACCAGTCTCCTCGGAGGCGTGGGTTCGAATCCCACCGCTGCCAAGTTTTTTTTTTATCCCTTAATTGCCAAAATTTTTATTCTTCCGATCTTCGCCAACGATTGTCAAGCAAGAAGAAGAAGAAACGTACAAGAACCTATTCTCCCCCTCCCCCTCCATCCACAAGCAGATACATCGCTCACTTATCGCCGCGCGTGCTGTTCAATTTGTTCGTGCGCACGCTCTTATAATTCCCAACTTGTTCTGGCCTGCGGCGCACCAAGATCCACAGGTTGGGCAACGAAAAGGTAAGACTATACTTCACAGGATCATTTCTGTAGTCAGTCTTCACATACTTTCACACTAGATGAAAGCTGAGTGCACCCGCGTTGATGAGTTGAATCGTTCTATTCGGCAGCGTGAGGATTTGTCCAGTGTCCTTTTGGTGCTTCGCATCTTTCGGGACGCAGGGCTTCGATGATCGCTCGGTAGAAACGGATAGAGCGAATTCTGAGTGGTGCCCCCTTTTTAGCTAATCAATTTAAATTCTGTGGAGACATGAATTCTCTCCTGAAAAATATTTTCATCATTTCAAATCATTTCATTTGTTGTTATCAGCAGCATTTGAGTTAATTATGGAACGAGCTTATGTTACTACCAGTGCGGGACTGGACATCAGTTACAGCATTTATTTATCTACATAATTGAAAGTGCTGTATTTATTATGCAATGCTAAATTGTTGCCTTTTCAAATGTGATTATATAGTATTTTTACAATCATTTGGGCTTTAAAAGTATAAATATTTGTTAATTGAAAATTTTGTTACCCTGCGTAATGGAGCTATTCTACTGCAAGTAAATAGTAACTTTTAATACTGCTATAATTGAATATGCAGAGCAGTAAACCTCTCGGTCCCCAGGCAGTAATAATATTGTTGTTTCCGCCTGCTCTAAACACTGTTGCTGCTGGTGCTCTGCAAAGCAATTAAAACAGCACTTGAGGGGCGACCCTTTTGCCGCTCCGCTTGTTGCCAGTTTCAAGTGTTTTTGTTGCACGTTGACAGTCCGTTAAAGGTGACACAGGCGCCACCCCACGAGAATTATAAAACATTTTAGTGGGAAACAGAGTTCCGCTTTTTGTTGCTTCAAGTGCGCTTCGTGCTCAAGACTTGGCAGTGAGTGGTCGAAAAAACTGCAAATTTGTAATACAATTTTCGCTAATGGTTGTGGGGGCGTTTGGGGGCTCTAATTACTCAATGCTGCATATGAATGGTCCTTGAGCGAGGGCGTGATTTTTGGCTTAATGCAACGAACCCAATTAGTGGATGATGACTACTTGGAAGTGCCTTCAAGTAGGTCCTTGGCGAACTTTTTCGAGTTCGTGTTTTGGTTGGCGAACTGCTCCACTTCCTCGAGATGCTCACAATCGTATACGTAAGACTATGGTGCATAAATATTTGAGGAGCTTGTCTGCTGCACGCAACAACAATTAATGGTTGCCTAGTTGTTGTCAACTGTCCCATTTGCTTCTGCTCTGGGGCCTCGTTTTTTGCCATTTCGATTGCCAAACACGGAACAACACGTAGTGAAAATTTATTTAAGCAATGCAAAGCAAATACGAGCGCCAGTTAGGGTACAGTGCGTTTCATGAAGCAAGTTATATATGGTGATCGGAAGATCAATAAGAATTGTAGGGAATGTATTTATTACCTCTAAATGGAATATTAAATTTTACTCTCAATATCTGAACTGTAGATAATTCTGGGCGTAGCATAACATTTTGAAACACACTGTACCCCCTTTCGGTTCACTTACAAATGTCGTATTTTTTGAGTGCTTACATAAAAACACATTTGAAATGCGGTTAAAGGGATGCGAAGGAAGTCGAAGGGAAATGGAAAATGGAGCCGAGGGAAAAAGGAAAAGCAAGCACAGCACAGTCGGGGCAGCGCCACCTAGAGGCCCGAATTGACATCATCATCATCATCATCCCCGGGCCAATCGATGATGATGATGATGCTGCTGCTGCTGATGGCAATGCGGCTGATGCCGTAATTGATGTCTTTGCGACATGCTTTCCCAAAGTGTTTACGTTGGGAATTACCCATGTGTGTCGCTCGGTGTATGGGCGGGGTACCACGCCCCCAGCTAGTTGACAGCCAGCCGTTTACGTGCACTTAATGAAATGTGCCCCAAAATGGAAGCACGTACCGGGCATCTATTTAATGAGCCCAGCAAGAGGTTCTTCTTGCGAAGAAATTTCAAGGGGTGGGGTGGCTGCAAATGGCTGGTTGGAATATTTGGAATATCTAGTGTTTGAAGGCAAATGGAGAGTGGGCAGAGCTCATGAAATTTTTAAATGTCGCAGCTTAAATTCAATTTAATTTAGCTGCAATGGCTGCATTATTCAATGGCACTCACACGTAAGCGGCTCAAGAAAGTCCCCGAAAATCCCCCAACACCCTCGAAAACCTCAGACCAAAAGCACCAGCTCCAACCGCAGTTTAAAATTCATGTGAGCTTTTCAACAATTCTCCCAAACAAAATGCGATTAAATGTGCGGAAAATGCTGAGCTCTTGTTCTCGATTTGCCCATGTTGTTGCTGGATAAGCCACAATGGGTTAAAGCAATGTCTTGTTTGCACATGTGTCGCTAGGGGGCGCCACCACGTAGCTCTTCCCATGCCGCTGCGAAAGTCGGATATTTTGGAAAAGTCGGAAAAGCAGTTTAAACGCACACAGCACACACATGCCGAAGGTGCAAAAATGCGTTAAACATAACATGCTAATTCCTGGCGCCTGCAGCTTCAATCTTTCACCTGCCCAGGTGAAACTCCCACACCCACTCCATACACACATATGTGTGCACCAGCTGCCATCCTTGGGCCCTCGGAGATCGTCCTGCGGCAGGACTCGTTGGCTATGTAATACGAGCGTTTTGTGTGCCATTTGAGCCCGAAGTTCTCCTCTATTTTCTGCCATTTGCCTTTGTGCTATGTGTGGGTTTGTATTCCCTGCCAGAAGGAATTTTTATTTGTTTTTTTTTTTTTTGCAGTCATGGTAGTTAGGGCGTTTTTATGTAAAACAATTTTATTCTTTTAACAATAATTCTATTTTGAAAAAGTTAACTTCAATTGGCTTTTTTGTTTTGTATGAAAGGGAATTAAATACTTTGCTGTGGATCCTTACTTTTGTTAGGTTTCATTTTCTTTCTTCTGTATTTTAGTACTAATACTTTTTAATGCACTAAGTATTAATTTGGAACTGATTCCATTGATCGTAAGTTCTGTAGCCCTGAAAATATATTAAAAAAGCTTTTGAGAGCTTTCGCTCTCACTTATTTATTCACGTGCAATCAGTTGATCAGTTGGAGTGGTTTTGTTATGAATAGTTCCAAAAACGCAGTCCCAGCCTCTTCCTTTAAATACGGACCAGCTGTCCGGATCGGAATCGCTGTCCTGGTCCTCCACACCGTCGGCTGGCTGGGCTGGAAGGCGGTCAACCAGGGTGCGGAATCCAAGGAGGCGGCGGCGAAGGCCCAGCAAGAACAGTTACGAGCGGTATTCGCGGAAAAGTGATATAACTACGGATGATAAACCCATATTGTTCAGCAAACCACCACGGACTGAGTGCATATTAGTTAATTGTTGCTCGAAACCGAGCCAAATAAGTGAATTAAAAATAAAATGAATTGCTTACCTATTTGTCTTAAAGATTTCATTTAAAGCTTACCGTTGCTTAGAGCTTTTTATACCCTTGCAGAAGGCATAGTGATTTCAGTCAGCGACGTATCAAAAATATGCCAATAATTGCTTATGTGCCATGTTTTACATTATAGAATTTAATTTAATATAGATCATATAATATGATTCATGTTTTTGATTTTGAAGCATTCTTAGCTTAATTTTTGTATACATATGATCTCCTATGATGAAATCAATGCGAACAGGAATTAATTAAAACTATAAAGAAATGTATATGCAAATTTGTGCACTACAATTGTTTTGTATATATTTTTCTTCATGTTAAACATGAGCTTGTTTTTAAAATACAAGTTTCTCCGCATATGTACATATATAAATTGTACTGATGGCTAACTAATGTTTACTGGACATGCTAATGCATATGGTCAACTTTTGAAATTGTAGTTAAAAAACGATCAGAGAGAGTTGCTTTGCTTCTCGCAATCTCTCCGAAAGCCCTCCGATGGAAGCTTTGCCAGCTTTTGACTGAGAAATTAGCAACTATAAGCCCAGCTCGATTCAGTAACTCAGTTCCCAAGCCGGAGGTGAGGAGTCGAGCCACCTGGAGAAACTCGCGAAAATGCTATCAAGATCCGTGCTGATCGTAGTAGGCCTACTTATGCTGAGCTGGCAGTGGACAATGGCGATGGCCATGCCGCCCCTTCCGAAGAACCCACCCAGCGAAGTATCCATAAGTAGGCCGGACATACCGGGATCCCCGGATATATTTGTGCAGAGCATCTTCAACATCGATCCATCGCAGTGTCCCAAGGGATACGTTCGCACGGGTCCACATCACACGTGTCGTAGGATTGCCTAGGAAGACGAACTGCAACCATCGGCTTAAAGTTCAATACCAGAATGTGCTTTTATTGATACTTAAATAAACGAAATTAAACGTACAAATAAATTATATAAATACTTGAAATTCTCGCACACATATTGACAAATCTAGTTTCTTTATAAGAATACAGATTCATTAAAACTAAACGTTGGCACTGATGAAATATTTTTCAATAATAAATATTCGGTAGAGTTTATCCGTAGCTCCTATGGCATTTTAGGCTGGTTTTCGACATCGATCTATATACAGTTGGAAACCAGGAGAGCACTTTTTTTCGACTTGGAGTAGTAAAAGAATCGCCGTCAAAGTGATCAGATACATCCATTTTCTAAGGTGGACCGCCATTTCCGGACAACGCATTTCCAGACTTCGCACTACAATCGCTAGAAGACTAATGTTACCCGAGGATCTAAAAAGCTAGCTTTTATTTGGGGATTCTCCCTGTTATGTATTTGCTCTTCAAGATAAAATTGACAGGGCGAAACGCATTCCATTAACTTGATAAGCCAATGTAATCAATTACAGACAGCTTTGTAATTATACAACTGTAATTCAATATTATAGAGATAACGTTTTCTTAACTGATATATTTCAAGATTGCAATAACTGCATATGGCTGATTAATACATTTTGTGATTATCAAAAGTTGTTACAGTGGCATACGTAATCTACTTATGTACGAACTTTTAGCGCACTCATTTATTTGTAAGTCACTTTTTTCCCAAAGAGCATTCTGAGGTAATCTCTGGGAAATTTGTACTTCCAATCTTACATAAACAACCTTATCAGTAGAGAAAAATGTCCCAAAAAATGTCAGCCTGAATTATTACACAGAATGACAGATTTAATGGCACAATGAAATATGTTTTGTGTAGATGAATCAGTATTATTCAGATTTTAATTTCATTCGCGAATTCTCTAGGCTTCCTTCCTGCAACGTCCTGCCATAACCTTGAGTCCTTCAGGACACTTGGGATCCAGGTCGAAGAGACTGCGCTGATTAACCATCTCTGGATCCGCTTCCTCAGCATCCGACTTGGGATCTCTGTTGGATCCAGGTGCTTTGCTCAAATCGGGCGACAAAAACTCATGGGTATTGAAGAGGTCATTGATGTTTTGGCCAACATTGTCGGGGGATTGCGCTTTCCCAGGAATAGGCTGGATCACAGAAGGCTGCTGCTGGCCGGGAATCGGTTGAATAGTCTGCCCCTCGCCGGCGACCCCAGTTTCGTGATCCTGACCAGGTCGAGGCTGCAAAGTCTTGGGCGACTGGAAGTTAAATTCGGAGAAGTCTTCATCTGCGCTTCCGGGACGTGGTTGTATGGGCTTATTAGACGTTCCAAGTCCCTGGTTCGGTCCCTGGTTGAGGCCTGGTTGTTGGAATTCTCCAGAATTCTGGTCTGGTTGTTGGAATCCTGGCTGCCGGAATCCTCCAGAATTCTGGCCTGGTTGTTGGAATCCTGGCTGGCGGAATCCTCCAGAATTCTGGCCTGGCTGTTGGAGTTCTCCAGAATTCTGGCCTGGCTGTTGGAATCCTCCAGAATTCTGGCCTGGCTGCTGGAATCCTCCAGAATTCTGGCCTGGCTGTTGGAATCCTACAGAACTTTGGCCTGGCTGCTGGAAGCCTCCAGAATTCTGGCCTGGCTGCCGGAAGCCTCCAGAATTCTGGCCTGGTTGCCGGAACCCCCCCGAACTTTGGCCTGGCTGTGGGAATCCGCCTGGATTTTCATTTGGCTGTTGGAATCCACCAGAGTTTTGGCCAGGTCGAGGCTGCAGAGTATTTGCATTGCCACCCGGCTGCTCGCCTTCCAATCCTCGAGGGTAGGTGGGTAACTCATTATTGCTTCCTGGTTGTTGACGACCTGGCGCCCTTCCCTCAGGTTGAGCTCTATTGAACTCACTGCCTGGCTGCTGAAAACCTGGTTGGCCCCTGTTGAAATCTCCACCGGGTTGCTGGAGGCCTGGATGTCCCCTGTTAAAATCTCCTACAGGGTCCGGGTATTCCTGTTGTCCTCTGTGAAAACCAGCTCCATGCTGGTGAAATGGACCGCCAGCTTGTCCGTGAACTGCACCACCGTTCGGATAATACGGTTGACGACCTCCAGATGGTTGATTTTCTGGATAATACGGAGGGGGCGGTGGGAAGCGACCGAAGGCAAAGGGAGGTGGTCCAGCGGATCCTGGGCCAAGTCCTGGCCCATGTCCTGGCCCATGTCCGGGATGACCATGGCGGTGGTGATGGTGCCTAAAGAAAAGGAAATTATTAATAATTAAAACATTAATCTTTCACCATCTCGGTGAGATATTCTAGTTGAAGGCTTTTTTGAAATAATATACTCACGAGTAACCATGTCCTCCGTTTTCCACATAGTACGGATTCTGGGGACGAGCTGAAGTCCATTGTCCACTGATTAAAAGGATCAGTGACACGGCCAACCTTACAGATAAGAGCTGGGAAAACATTTTCAACGCGAACCACCGGCGGCGTTAAACATTCAAAAGAGACTGAACAGCATTGTCGAGTCGAGAATAGACGATCTAACCGAGCTCAGTATTTACTTTGAGCTGCTGATAAGCGAGGTTCATGACATCAGATAAGGCATCAAATTACATAGCAGAGGAGCAGGGAATTACGGACGCAGCTGAATGCACCGGGAATAGTTTGAGTTGGACACTGACTCACAGCAAACAATATTTACTTTGTTTCACACGACGCTAAATTTCCCCAGAGCGTTTCTCCCACAATTGTCAAATGGGTTTTTGATGGGTATTTCTGTCTGCCTTCAAATCGCTTTGAATAATCACCAAAAAGCAATCTGACCATCAATCAATCTCTAGCTCTATACAAATATCACTTTATTGACTAACATCAATCTTAGAGTCTACAGACTAAGCCGGCTTTCTGCAACGTTTTCCGAACAGCTCAAAGCCAGGCTTACACTTTCGGGTCGTCTCCAGCAGAATTCGGTTGTCTATGACGGGCAGCATGGTGGTGCCTTCATTATCCAGCTCCTCCGATCCGCTGCTCATCTGTTCTGAGCTGTTGGTGCTTTCCGCACGTGATGCTATTGTGGATGCGGGTTCTTCTGTCGTCGTCGTCGTCGTCGTCGTAATCGAGTTCGTGCTCGGATATGTGAATCTATAGCTGGTTTCCTCGTCGTCCTTTGGGAACACGATGCGAGCGTCACCACTGGGCTGAGTTCTTGCCTCGATGAGGAGGACCGCCAGCGGCAGGATGCACAGCACCAATGGGCTTAAGTGTAACAACATTATCTGCGAGATGCACGCTCGTCTGCTACGATGGAGCAGCGATGACTGAGCGCGGAAGCAACTGGCTGGCGATCATCTTTCCAAACACATTCACATTTTCATTCCCAGCGAAACCAGATAAACGATGGGAGCAAATCGCTGGGGGACCACAATAACAATGGCAGGGGAGCTCACAAGCTCTCCCGTAAAAACAAAACGTAAACAAAGCAGAAGAGTAGCATTGAGCTTTTCAGATATATCTCAGCTAGTCTACACTGACAGAAATTAATGAGCGTCAACGGTATATTTTGTAAAACTTTTCTTTAATCAAATATTTTGGCTCCCAGCTATTTCAAACGTGGCTCTCTGATACACAAACATGATTTGCAAGACGATCGCTTACACTTAATACTTTTGAATATACTCGTATTTATTTAACTACTGTCAAATAATGCTCAGTTGCAGGCTAGGCAATCTTCCGGCAATGATCATTGACAGTCAGGGTGGTGCCCTCTGGACAAATTCGCGTTGTTTCCAGGACAATCCTGGGCCCAATGACCACACTGCTGGAATTGCTAGCGGCGCTGGCTTTGGTTTGATCCCAAGGAGCAGGCTTATCCGACTCAGATTCCTTGCCGAAGGTGATCATCTTGGACTCGGTGGAGGGATGTGTAAGATTTTTGGATATGCTGGGTATTCCGTTCATTTTGATCTCTTGCCCTGACGAGTTGTTCCGGGTTTCGGTCAAGTTTTTCGACTCATTTGGAGTATTTGCTGGAGTCTGCGACTTGTTGTCCGCAGCCGTAGTTCTCGGGCTGCCCTTTTTGATTTCTTTGAGGATTGGCAGGCTTACATTGGTGGCTCTGGTCACCTCCGCCATCTCCCGCTCGATTTCCCTAAGTCTGGACTCCAGGCGGATGGCTGTGGCATTTGGCCTGGACTCCGAGGGAAACACAAACTGATCGCTGGCCACTCGAGCTCCACGACTTGGATCCAATGCCAGACACAGCCAGGCAAACAAAAACAGCAGCTTCGACCAGGAAAGCCGCGTAATTGCCATCGTAAAGTTGGTTTGTGTACTTGCAATCGAAGCCCAAGTAAACACGTTCACACTCGCCAGTATCGCTTTCGAGACTGAATCTCCCAAGTCTCAGTTTCCAGCTCCGTCTCCGTCTCAGTCTCAGTTTCAGTCTCAGTTTCAGTCTCAGTTTCTGATTCTGATTCAGTTTGGGATCCACTTCGAGAGGCAGAAGTCGGGGTCCGAGAGGCATTAGCTTGTCAGTTGTACAACCTGTTGGCAAATGTGCGGGTATATTTGCACGCTGATAAGGCTACATGGCACCCAATTGGAAGCCGCTTACATAATTAGGAGAGTAGTCAGCGAATCGGTCGAATGAATCGCGAGTAATCAGATTCGAGGCAACGTTCATAAGTCCATACTCGAATGCTATCTCCCCCATGCGAACTGATTTGAAAAACTATCTCGAAAAATAGTTTTCTTAAATACCAAGCTTTTGTAATGTTCAGGCCTTATTTACTTGTTTCAACTGATACAATTTCACTTGCCTTAAATGCCAAGCACAGGCAAACCATCAGAAACAGAAGCTTCGAGCAGGAATGCCGATTGATAATCATTGTGAAATTTAATGTGATTGAAACGAGTCTCGTTCTTTCGAATTTATTGCAGTTTCCAAGTCGCTTCTAATTTAAAACAGTGAGCTTAACACACCTATAAAACAGAAATGTATTCCTCCCGTCGCAAAAACTACTAAAAAAAGGTTTAACTATTTTCTAAGTATTATTCAGTTATAATCACTGGAAATTCAAGACTGCTAAGCAAGTTTAGGACATCGTTTATTTGGGGGAATAGAAACTTCATCAAAGATAGTCGCAATATATGCATTATTAATTCACCTATGTGTATTTCCCCTTTTAGGAAATTAAACACTTTCATATAACTTTTATTTATACTTTTATATATATTTATATATGTATATATTATATACATATGACACACCTTAGTCTTAGAATTTATCTTTATAGCTGATTCTGGAATCCCCGCCGTGAATAATTGGCAATTGCACGGAAAGGATTTGAAAGTGAAGAAAATATAATAATTTACATACCGAGCATAATTTACCTTCAAATTGAATTACATCGCTAGTACATAAAGCAACGCGCTAGATTTTAAATACATGATATGATTGTCAAAGTTTGTTATTAAGTGTGATAGCCTTTGTACAAAGAAGGTCCTTCAACCAGACGGTAGGGAAAATAAGCTTAAGATTATAAAGACCTTAATATAAATCCCAGATAAATATTCCCGATTAATTTTTTAACTTACCAGGAGCTTCAGCAAACATAACATTTTTGATTACATTTTGTCATTACACGCTTTTCCAGTCAGATGCGCGTCCCGAGGATCGATGAAAAACCCATATCTCATTTTCTAAGTGACTTTTTACGAAGTAACCTGAGCTCGAGCCGTAACCTGCCTAATAAATGTCAGCAATTTGAGCAAATAATTTTGACAATTCTATTGTCAGCCACCGCAAAGCACATAGGGCCCTCGATATACTTGCTACTGCCATCCGGCGACCCACATCATCATAATCATCATCAAATTGCCGTGGTGGTTGGCATAATTTTTCGCGAAGTAAAAAGAAAAGCAAACAAGAGTTGAAACATAAAAATGTAATTTGACTGTGTGGGCGACGGTGGTGGCAATGGGGCAACCCAGTGTTAAATACCAGAACCTTTTTTCACTGTGTACCACATAAAAGTACATTAAAATAATGCCTGTTTAGGTCACAGACAGCTGGGGCAGAGCGAAAGGCTCGTAGAGTCATTTATTTATGACAGCCACCTTCTCACCCAAGCGAAATTGAAGCCAAACGGGGAAGAAGAGTCAAATTGAAGGGTGGCAGTTGGGCTCTGAGCAATGGCATGTCCTGGCAAAAGGACAATGGAACTGCGTTTGCTGTTAATCAGTGCAAGTTTCGGAAAGTAATCAGCAAATATTTTCCCACTTTTTGTTGCGGTTTTCTCGAGCATTCTCGTAATTTTCATAAAAGCGCGGTTTCTTTCCTCTGCCGCATTGTTTGCTCGATTGTTCATGTATTTATTTCCAACTGCCATCTTCCATCTCAGATACAAATGGAAATCTATCACAGATCTGATTTACTGCCAACCTTCGACAATCATTTGCATCATCATCGTTTGATATTCGAGAGCCCTTGTGTCATGTAGCCTTAAAAGGCAAGAGATTGACTACTTTCACAATTATCTTGGCCATCGAGGCGTACTGATCAACTGAAAACTGCGCTTTTGATTCAGTTCAATTTAACTACTCATCGGCAGCGGTTTAAGCCCAAATGGCATCGTGGACGGGGCTACTCTGCCTGTTTGGCATCTTGGTCATCAGCAGCAGGCTGCTGGATACTTCGGCGCTGGACAGCGAAGTCAAGTCAAGCAACCTCAGTGGAAATGTGGAAATGAAACCGGAGAAAACTTGGAGCCCCGATGGAGCTATGCAGGCGCAACCCTATAATATTCTGGAGACCAACTGCCCACTTGGCTATGTCCTGGCTAATAAGCACTGCCACAAGCGTGCCTAAAAGTTATTTGGTTTTGAAATAAAAGTAATGGTTACCTAAAGATAACTTCCATGATAACAAATTTTGAACGGAAGAGCAAAGAAATATATATAATTCTCCTAATATAATTAATAGAATTTATCACACAATTTGTGAAATATATATGATTTAAAATCATCCCAGTAAGACAACTTAAAATAGCTTTCTGTACTCTTTAAACTAAACACTCGCTAAAAATATCACCTTATGGTATTGCTAAGTGTGTATACATAATCCTCATAATAATTAATAGAATTTATCACACAATATGTGAAATATGATTTAAAATCAGCCCAGTAGAGAACTTGAAATAGCTTTCTGTACTCTTTAAACTAAACACTCGATCAAAATATCACCTTATGGTATTGCTAAGTGGCTACAAGAAAATTCTGCCCACCCATTATCGAGGATTTTTGCTGCCAGCGAAGAGCCTCGATGGCCCCCGATTGCCCACTCCTCGGTTAACTATCAACCAATATGTTGCGGTTGCTTCCATGTCCAACCTGGCCACCAGCCCCACCTCCGCTCGGAGCAACGTTACCCAGGGGACGGGCCAACCGCACACATAATTTGCGACAGCAACCGCAAAATGCGGCCGCACAGGATCCCCACTCCGGCCAAAACTCAGCCCCTGACTGATATGCAACCCGAGGGCTGTCATTAGTTAGAGGTCCATTAACAAAAATGCAATGGCTGCGATGGCTGCTGCGATGGCTGCTGCGATGGCCAGACGGCGATGGTCGAACGTCATTTACAGGTAGCAGCTGCATTGACAGGAGCCCAAGAGCAGGACTCCATGTGAGGGCCCGGAAGTTGGCGCATTAATTCAGGAGGACGGCATGAAATATGACAACACTCGGGGGCTCTGCTTCGCTGAATGAGTTAATTAAGCGTCTCACGGCCAGCAACATAATTTGGGCCCATTTATCAGTGACGGCGGTTGTGCGGCGCATGTAAATTTGCCTTAGAGATGGCAAATGTCAGCCGTTGTCCTTCGAAAAACACGGAGGTTTCATTACACAGCACACAAAGGAAAAGAAAAGTGCATGTCCAAGCAGAGCGCTATTTTTCTATTCAAAACATACATTTTATTATTTTCAGTGCACACGCTTGGCGGGCTTACAGCTGCTGACCCAAAGGATTGTCCAGCCAGGGATAGACGGAGGGGCACTTGTCGCAGACGGTCATGTAGCGCTCCTCGCCGGTGGACATCTTTTGGACATGGCACTGGACCACTCGACACTCCGCCTCCGGCAATTCGGGGCAGTCCTTGAACGGAGAACCCAGCGTGGGCTGCCGCACGTACTCCAGCATTCGCGAAATTCCGGTGAAATACACATCCGAGTAGGTGTTCAGGTGGTTTATGAATCTGCGCGAATTAAAATGGGTAGATATGGCCAATTTTGTAGTAGTTACTTACTTTTTAAAGGCAGCAAAGTAATTGCGACCCCGCGAAAACCAAGCCGCATGCAGATACATCCCGAAGGGAGCCCTATTGCCCAGATAGTGCCTATTGAAGTTTTCCAACATCCAGTCGAACAGCTCGTCCACATCGTCCTCCGGCGGGTAGACGCAAGCATCGATCATGGAGCAACTGTAGCCCTCAGTGTCGGTCCACGTGACCATGGGATTTACCCAGAATCCGGGTATGGATGCCTCCGGACAGGGTCCTATCTGGCAGTCCTGCTTCGACATGTAGTCCAGGGTGTAGGGCCACATGGCCGGATCCTTGTACTTTTGCGTTGGCCAGGAACTGTCGTAGGTCAAGCCCAAGCGACTGGCTGCTGCAAAGGTGTTGTTGCCGGAAATTTGGAGGAAAGGCAGGCGCATTCCCTGAATCTTCTTGGGATCCACCTTGGCAAAGGTCTCCAGCATTTTGATCTGCGCTCCAAACTCCCGCTCGATGGTGGCCACATCAGCCGATCGCCAGTAATCGGTGCCATCTCCATGGGTCACCGAGTGCAGGGCTATCTCGTGACCTGCCCTATAGAGTGCATTCACCCTCCCGTAGTCCGTGTACTCGTGGGACAAAAAGAAGGTGCCAGCGGCTCCACATCCATCCGGATTGATCAATCCCTCGAAGAGCAGCTCGTACTGGGCGAAGTTGACAGCATTTACAGCATCATCGAAAGTGATGGTTACGAACTGGGCGAAAGAGTATTTAGATCTCTGATTTATTGAGGTGAACAGAATGTGCGCAATATCACCTGCGGAATCTCGTTTTCTTTGCCCTGGAACTTGGATGTGGGTAACACGGCATCGGAGCAGCGGCAATCGGGTAGCTTGCAGTTGCTCGGTTTGCAGGGCTCGGCCATTGCCAGGATCAACTCCTGCTGGGCCAGCTCCTTTTGCTTCTTCTTGTGCTTCTTGGACTTGGACTTGGCCTCGCCCGTGAAGGCGAGGGCCAAAACGAGACCCAGAATTAGCAAGGTAGAGTACTTCATGCTGGGCTAGAAAGCTCTATGCACAGCCATCGATGCTGGATGGGCTTCTTATAACCTTCGGGGAAAGGCGATATCTTATCAGATTTTTGGGGCTCCAAATACGATTTGCTTGTTCAGCACAAGGTGTGTCTGAATTGGGTGGGGTTTCCTCAAGTGACCTTGTTTCCTCCGCACAGCACTACCAACTTCACTCAAGCAAAAAGAGACAGAAGTTTCAATTATAGACATGCCAGCGATCGGAGTGGCCAAAGTTTGGCTCATTAGCATAACCAAAGAACTTAGCAGCTGGGATTTGCCGGGCTGAAGTGGAAAACTTTTCACACTTGCCGGAGATCGCAATCGATGGGCGTCGACTGCAGCCCAAATTATGACAGACCCTCCCCCAGGCAGCCAGGAAAATACACTTCAAATCGTAAACAAGTGCTTCAGAAACTTTTCACAACAGCGACAGGAAGCTCTCAAAAACAAAGCACAAGGAACTCTCAGACCCCCAGCCAATCACACAGTGGGTGGAGGTCCTCAAATCCCGGCAGGCAGTGGCAAAAAGTCAATACAAGATTGAGGAAAAATCTGCAATTCCCTTGGGGGCGAGAGGAGTCGACGGAGGAGTCAGGCATCCGTTCCCCGATTACTCGGGGTGCACGCCCCGAATGCGATTTGGTCACGTTCCTGGGCGTTGCCATCTCGGCCAGGAGCCGCAAACGCGGCCAGCCAACCGCCAGCCAGCCGAAAGGACTCTCGGAAAAGCGGGCGGAAAACTGGGTGGAAAGCCTCGACGCTCGACGCTCGGCACTCTGGCTCTCCGTTGTAGGGGCGATGCAACATGTTTGAGTGAGTTCGATGATAGGGTTTTGTTCCCAACCATCTACACGATGGATTCTAATGAAGATTGAGACTGCCTGCTGAGGGCCGCTTCATTGAAATCTGATTGACGGCGAGGTGAGCATCGCTCGTTCATCATCTCTCATTAGGTGGAGGAGCACTATGCCAGGGCGTTGGGGTGTGAAATCAAAGGAAAGGATAAGCCAACCTCCGCCAACCAGCCAGCCTCACACCAAGGACACATGTGAGCCCTAATCAAACCTGCTCACGTGACCGAAACTGCTCTAAAATGCAAATTTTCCGGGGCTAATAAAAACGTTACTCATATGCGTGGAAGATTTCCCAAGTGCCGCAGGCGACCAAAGAGAAAATTCGCACGCACGTCTGAAGCTGAAAACTATTACGGGGTGGCGGTTATTCTACCCCGGTTCCGGGTGCCTTCTGTTTGCCAATTTTCGCGATAATCACACATCTAATTTGCATAGCACTGAGACCAGCAAATCTGGGCTAATCAAATCAGGCAAACGAACAAACTCAATTTGCGGCTCGAGTATTAATGCGAATTTATTCATGACACAAGTATGCATGTTTTATTTTAAATACCCTCTACATAAGAGGTAGATATTGGTGTTAGCTCCCTTTGGGCTCCTTTTGTTTTCTATTTATTCTTCATCTTCTTCTTTTATTACAAATAAAAACATAACTTAAGAACCCTAAAACAAATGGTAAATTTGCTTAATCTGGGAAGCGGAAATAGGCTTTTCTCTGCGTTTCTTTTGAAATATTTCCAGTAGAGCATTTGAACTTCGCAAAGAGGCTTTCAGGACTCCCACCCCAGAGATCTTAAGTCTGATATAAGCCTTCATAACCACCGCATCCATCTGTTATTGCTTTGATGGGACTATGCAAATCTCGGCTTGCGAGATGGCCTGGCATTTCATTTCAAATAATTCTCGGCGGGGCAAGCAGAAATCCAGGCAAAGCTGAAATTTTCCAAGGAGATAGGCAAAATTCAAAATTACCGAAGGATGGCGTTAAGGGAACAGAAGCGGGGAGTTGGGAAGAGGACCAAGCCGGATGAGTGGGATGCTGTAAGGACGGCTCGATACTTAAGGGATTTGCAGGAAAATGAGGTGCAAACGATGCATTATTTGGGAATGGCCTACTTCGGTTTGTCCCGTCGCCCAAACTTGCAGTTGAAAGTTCCTATGTCCACCCAAAACTATGAACATGGAGCGGGGGAACGAGGGGGCTTTGCCCTCCAGTTGGTCTTCACCTGTCCCGCGAATTATCCGCTCCAAGTGCCGCAGGTGCAGATCGTGGAGAAGCGCAATATCAGCGAATCCTTGGAGCAGGCTCTCCGCAAGGAAATTGTCCTAATTTTGGAGGAACATCTCGGGCTCCAGATGATTGTGCCTGTAGTGAACCGGCTGCAAATTATGCTGAATACCGCGGCGAAAAGGCAGCCCTCTTAAATAAGCTCATCCATAAGTGTGTCTTTCCCCATTTTATGTGCAACAGTTTTTGTGGACAATTCTTAGTACAATAAAATTTACCATTCGTCATCGGAAAGTTTTTCAGATTCATACAAACCGATTGCTCCCCATCTTCATTGTAAAATGTTAAACACTTGCGTGTTATAATCGCATCATATATATTTTAAAAATTAATAATCTCAAACAATTGCTCGGCTTGCTCTTTGCCCCACTTGCTTACAACTTGGCGTTGACGTGGATGGCCAGGACTCCGTCGTCCTCGGCGCGGCCGACGGAGATGGAAGCCCGTCCGTCGGATCCGACGCTGACGGTCCTGCCCGTGCAGGAGGAGCCGCTCTTGGAGCCGGAGATGACGTCGCAGTAGGTGCCGGCGGGCAGGCCCGTCTGCAGGGAGCTGTTCAGGTCGTAGTTGTCGTTGTTGAAGGCCACGAAGCCGCGGCTGCCGCGGCTGAAGGCGATCTGGTTGCTGCCGTTGTCCCACCAGTTCTGGATCGCGTCCGAGCCCACGGCGTTCCGGAAGGCCACCATGTTGTAGATCTGGCGCCAGCGGTGCTCGCACACCCAGCCGCCGCTGCAGGAGTGGTCGCTGTTGAAGACGGGCGAGGCGATGTTGTGGCCGTCGGTGGTGGGCGGGCCCTGGTCCGTGTCCGAGAAGGAGAAGGAGGACATCACGCGGGGAGTGCCGAAGGGGTGCGCCAGCATGAAGGCGGAGGCCATCTTGTACTGCTTGGGCACCTTGTAGGTCAGCACGTCGGCGCCTCCTGCTCCGTGTCCGCGCTGGTTGTCGTGGTTGTCGACGAAGACCAGGGAGCGGTCGGAGGCGGCGAAGCCCCAGGCGGTGCCCCAGTTGCGCAGGTACTGCAGCTGGTCCTTGCCGCGGAAGGCCTTGCCGATGGAGTCGGAGTGGCGGAACTCGGTGATGGCGCCCAGGCCGGTGTACTCGGACTTGCTGATGGCCTCGCCACCCATGTCGATGACCTCCTGGACGATGTAGGCCTTGGAGCCCGAGGCGAAGCCGTGCTCGGTGTTCAGGTTCTTGAGGCGGCCATAGATGACGGCCAGGTCGGCGGGCCACATGTGCTTGGCGGCGTCCACGCGGAATCCGGCCACGCCGAGGTCAATCAGATGGTCCAGGAACTCGACCACCTTGTCCCGCACGTAGGAGTTGCCCTGGTTGAGGTCGCGCAGACCGACCAGCTCGCAGTTGCGCACCTGGTTGGCGTCGTTGTAGTTGCTGATGCCGCAGGTCGGGTTGAAGTCCAGCGAGGAGTAGGGCACTCCGGGGTAGCTCTTGCTGCTGGGGCTGGCGGTGCTGCCGCCCGTTCCGTAGGTGCCTCCGTCGGCGGCCATGTGGTTGAAGACCACGTCCACGTAGATGCGCACTCCGACGGCGTTGCAGCGCCTGACCATGCTGGCGAACTGCTGCTCGTTTCCGGAGCGGGTGTCCAGCTTGTAGGAAATGGGCTGGTAGCGCTCCCACCAGGGGCGGCTGTCCTTGACGGCGTTCTCGTTCACAGGGGAGACCTGGACGCCGGCGAAGCCATTGGGTCCCAGGAAGTTCTCGCACTCGGCAGCGATGTCGTCCCACTTCCACTCGAAGAGGTGCACCATTCCACTGCGACCGGAGGCGTAGTTGGTGTCGAACTGGGCGTTGGCCACCGCCAGGAGGGCGAGGCACACAATGCTCTTGGCCAGAAACATGCTGATTCCAGATGGAAGCTCAGTTTCACTCTGATCAAAAGCGCGTTGATGCACCTCCTTATATATGATGACTAAATCCATTCGCTTTGCAGGGAGTGATTTGTGGATTGATCTTATCGCTCCTAAGGCTTATATGTATTGAGTTGATTAAATCGCGATTAAGGCGTGTTATCTGAGTTCGGGGCAGACCTATTGACTGGTGGCTAATTATAATTAGTTCGAGGTAAGTAAACACCAAGACAATGCATTCCACAGATATTGGTTGATACTGGAGATTTATTGGCCACTTGACTTGCACGCCACCAGAAGCGTGATCCATCCGAACTTTGGCCTACCAGGAGTAATTTATATTGTTCCAGAACTGGAACATAAACATAATATTGAAAATGCCGAAAGTTTGGTCACTACTATTTGGTATTTACTAAATATGTACAAATAAGTTCCAGATATCGATATTGCCAACAAAAAGTGGCCCACATATCACCACTAGAATTGCAATTTGTACGCAAACAGTTCTTAATTACACGGTTGAAATTGCTAAACAATCGAACACAATATTAAATAATAGTAATAATATAATTATACATAATAGTAATGTACGTGCCACTGCTAATCCTTCTAGGAATCTCGCGCTACAAGGCCCAGAAGAATCAGCAATGGACTGAGGGATTTTACACAGCCATCGTGAGCAGCTTTGCAAACAGGAGCATTATGTTCTCCACGGAGATGATACGATCCAGCATGCTGTTCATCTATGTGGGCGTGGAGGAGGATGAGTCCGAGCAGATTCGCAAGGCGCTGCACTACCAGGGAACCCATCTGTCTGACTACAAGCCGGAGGCACAGAAGATCTTCGATATGAGTGCGCAGAAGGCACCTGTGGCCAAGAGTCTTACCCGGTTTTACGTACGCCAGAATCTGAAGATGTCCACGGAATACAGAGTTTTTATGCGACATACAGAGGGAAGAGCTCGTAATATAGCCTTTAATCGCGAAACGCTGGACAAGGTGAATACCTTGTACAGCCACGAAATGGGCGAGCACTTTGGGCAGGTGGTGAAGGAAAGCTGGTGGAAACCGAATAGCCAAGGAGTCCTCATAAATGCCATTTTCTTCAATCTCAGTTGGGAGCGCACTTTCAATCCGGAGGCCACATATCCCCGGCAGTTTCGAGTAAGTGCCGCAAAGGAGGTTCTGATACCCATGATGCACGAGGACAGTAAGTTTGCATTCGGCACCTTGGGGCATCTTAAAGCCACCGCCGTGCTCGTGCCCTTTTCCCAAGGAGATCTCCAAATGCTCCTGATAAAGCCAGACCAGCCCGATGGACTCGCTCACTTGCAAGGGAAGCTGACGGGCATGGATATCGTTAGCGTGGCCAGGAATCTCACAATGATGGATGTGTTTGTGGGCTTACCGAAGTTCAGGCTACACAGCCATCTGGAACTCACTTCAGCTCTTGAAAAGCTGGGCATCAAGGATATATTTAAGCCGAGCAAGTCGTTTTCAACGTTGCTGCACAGAAATACCAACTTTCGGATTGACGGAGTTATCCATGTGGTCACCTTTGAGTTCCAGGAGCAGGGCATTGGTATGCCCAGTACTGATGTTGGTAAGTTGAATTATTCTTAGGACCTGGAAGATACTTCTCTATTGCTTAATTGTTTGCAGGCAATGGTAGTTTGACGCACACCTTTAATGGGGTGAAATACTTTCTGGCTACTCATCCATTTGCCTTTTATATCATAGACCGCACAACTATCTTCTTTGCCGGTCATGTAACAAGCTTTTAGAACGACTCAGTATCTAAACATTAAAGCATCAAGTTTGTGCAATACATCGATAGCTAATGGTCAGGTAATTTTTGTACTCCCACCGTTTGGGGTAAAAGTGATTGCAGAGCTGAGATGTTTATGAATAATAAAGTAAATCGTTTCATGCATTAAAAAGATACAGTTCATTTGTGGTCGAGCCATTTTCATTTATTCGGGCTGCCGAAATATCTTTTGATTAGCCAAAGGAATGGCACTGGTTGTGGGCCATAAGAATCCAGGTCATGTAGTCCGCATATAAATCCCGGCAAATTCATGCATGACCTATAAAAACCCCCGACCCAACGCGGCCAACGGACTCCGAGGCACTCCAGGAACATATTTCCTATTTATGGCTGCAACTTTCGGTCGAGTCGGGTGGGTGTAAAAATTTCAACACGCTCACACAAAAATTGCCAATTAAGCGCATTTATGACTGCAGCGCAGCGGAAGTATGTGTGGCATGCAACTAGCCGGGTGGGCAACGGGCAGCAGTCGGGGTCACCACCCCCGGGAATCACCAGATCCCGGTGGTAACAGTGTCTGGCCCATAAACATCCTTAATGCGAGGACGTGTGCACTCCGAAGACGCTCGTCGGATTATTAAGAAACAATGAAGACGGGACGTCGCTAGAAGCCATAAAAGCGGACACATAACGCCCGGTTTATGGCGCAAGTTAAAACCGGAAACTAAATAGTTGACACCGCGCGGACATTGGCCATCGGATGCTGGGGGCGGGGATTCAGGGCACGCCCTCGTAAAACTTGGCTCAATGACGAAAACATAATTTGTAATTTGAATGTGCTCCGTGTTCGGGCATAAGCAATGAGCTCACCAGCATGTCCTTCGCCGGTGTCCTTTGGGGGTAAGGAATCCAGTCCCGTTGTGATCAGAGGAGGCTCCTAGATGCCACTACCGGAAATCAGCAGGTGTGATATATTGCTTATAACATTCTGACATGTGTCAAACAAACGCTTGACGTTGAATAATAATTAAATTTTCTTGTAGCTTTATCTTTTCATTGTGTGTTGCAATGATTTGTGGTTCTGCGCTTGTGATAAGAAAATGAGGTAATGTTTAGTAACGATGATAAGGTAAATTCAATTAATCAGCTAAATCAAAAAGTTGTTAATTAATTGCAAGAGCTAACATCCAAGAGCGTGATATGACTAATTTAATTTGTCGGTCTGATGAGAGACTTTAATTTGTAAGCAAGAAAGTTTATTTTCTACCTGTAAACTAGCAGCGCCTTTAAGCCAAAATGAACTGGGAGGGAATTACTCTAGTAACTCCAGCTGAGATCTTAGCTGAAATTAAAAAGTGTCTTCTACATCGGGAGTTACGTCTTGGCTTGAGCCCTTGGCTTTGGGGTAAGGGATTCCTTCGTCCTTCCACTGATTTATGCGCTTATCACGCAGGCGTCGCCGTTTTTATGTGCCTGTCGTCGCCGTCTGTCGGCCATAAATGTCCTGGCCGAAGTCCTGGTCACAAATTTGCCATTTTAATGCGCCCCGGATCTCGGCTAGCGCTTTTCAATTTCTCCACATACACATACCTGCGAAATGGCTTAGGCTCATCCTTCGCCCTTCGTGACAGTTTTTCATTACGCACAAATCCTTCGGGCATACACAGTCGCATTAAAAAAGGCTGTTGACTAAGAGCCAAATGTTAAAAGGAACAGGGTGCGATGTAAGCAAACAGCGAATGGAGACTGCCATCTCAGGAATTTCATAAAAATCGTTGCCGGCTTATCGCAGCTTTAAGATGTCTGCATGTCCTGTGGGTGCTCGCATGTCCTTTGCCCTGCGACACTTTCAAAGTGACATTATGCAACTTTGAGCGGCAGCAGCAAGAACTGCAGCTATCTAAATTACCCAGAGACATCCGGCATGACAGGACTCTCTTATGCGCTCAAGGATCAACAGGAAGCGCCCCAAGGAGTCTGACTAGCTCCATGTGTTGCATTTCGCCCTTCTCGCTTTTTTGTTACGTTCCTACGCCCTGCAAATTTCATTTGCCACTGCGACAGGAAGGAAATGTGAGCATGCAAAGCCGAAAAGGGTCCTCCATAGACAGAGATAAGTTGCGCAGCAGTTGCCAATTAATCCGTCGTCCTGGACGTGTTAACATTCCGCCACTTCAGAGCCCGGAGATCAAGTGGCCGCCAGTCAAGGCCAGAAGTCACGTATTCCAGTAAACGGTGCGACCGAAGCCTGAAGCCAAAAAAGGTTGCTACCTTTACTTCAACTTGTTTTGGCGATACAGCAAGATTGCAAGGTTTTAAAATGCTAAAAATAAAAATCCGGCCATTGGAATTGGAGCTTGGACGTAATAAACGGTCAATAAATTCCCAACAGAAGCCGATATCAAAGGAATGCATTTTCCCGATGAGTTATTGATAGAAATGTAATCAAAATAAGCCTGCCCACTAATCATCTCCGAAAAATTGCGATCCCCAGTCAATACGTCTGCTCGGAATTCTGATTAGACCCCATGCGTGAAAAATAAACCCCTTAGAAAGCGATAAGATCCCGCGCAGTCACAAATCACTCCCCACGAAGCCCTCAGATAAAGTAGCAGTGGGGTCCGGGTCCACTATATAAGGAGCAGCACTGACTAATGCCGACCAGAGTGAAACTGAGCTTCCATCTGGAATCAGCATGTTTCTGGCCAAGAGCATTGTGTGCCTCGCCCTCCTGGCGGTGGCCAACGCCCAGTTCGACACCAACTACGCCTCCGGTCGCAGTGGAATGGTGCACCTCTTCGAGTGGAAGTGGGACGACATCGCTGCCGAGTGCGAGAACTTCCTGGGACCCAATGGCTTCGCCGGCGTCCAGGTCTCCCCTGTGAACGAGAACGCCGTCAAGGACAGCCGCCCCTGGTGGGAGCGCTACCAGCCCATTTCCTACAAGCTGGACACCCGCTCCGGAAACGAGCAGCAGTTCGCCAGCATGGTCAGGCGCTGCAACGCCGTCGGAGTGCGCATCTACGTGGACGTGGTCTTCAACCACATGGCCGCCGACGGAGGCACCTACGGAACGGGCGGCAGCACCGCCAGCCCCAGCAGCAAGAGCTACCCCGGAGTGCCCTACTCCTCGCTGGACTTCAACCCGACCTGCGGCATCAGCAACTACAACGACGCCAACCAGGTGCGCAACTGCGAGCTGGTCGGTCTGCGCGACCTCAACCAGGGCAACTCCTACGTGCGGGACAAGGTGGTCGAGTTCCTGGACCATCTGATTGACCTCGGCGTGGCCGGATTCCGCGTGGACGCCGCCAAGCACATGTGGCCCGCCGACCTGGCCGTCATCTATGGCCGCCTCAAGAACCTGAACACCGACCACGGCTTCGCCTCGGGCTCCAAGGCCTACATCGTCCAGGAGGTCATCGACATGGGTGGCGAGGCCATCAGCAAGTCCGAGTACACCGGCCTGGGCGCCATCACCGAGTTCCGCCACTCCGACTCCATCGGCAAGGCCTTCCGCGGCAAGGACCAGCTGCAGTACCTGCGCAACTGGGGCACCGCCTGGGGCTTCGCCGCCTCCGACCGCTCCCTGGTCTTCGTCGACAACCACGACAACCAGCGCGGACACGGAGCAGGAGGCGCCGACGTGCTGACCTACAAGGTGCCCAAGCAGTACAAGATGGCCTCCGCCTTCATGCTGGCGCACCCCTTCGGCACTCCCCGCGTGATGTCCTCCTTCTCCTTCTCGGACACGGACCAGGGCCCGCCCACCACCGACGGCCACAACATCGCCTCGCCCGTCTTCAACAGCGACCACTCCTGCAGCGGCGGCTGGGTGTGCGAGCACCGCTGGCGCCAGATCTACAACATGGTGGCCTTCCGGAACGCCGTGGGCTCGGACGCGATCCAGAACTGGTGGGACAACGGCAGCAACCAGATCGCCTTCAGCCGCGGCAGCCGCGGCTTCGTGGCCTTCAACAACGACAACTACGACCTGAACAGCTCCCTGCAGACGGGCCTGCCCGCCGGCACCTACTGCGACGTCATCTCCGGCTCCAAGAGCGGCTCCTCCTGCACGGGCAGGACCGTCAGCGTCGGATCCGACGGACGGGCTTCCATCTCCGTTGGCCGCTCCGAGGACGACGGAGTCCTGGCCATCCACGTCAACGCCAAGTTGTAAACAGCTGGGGAGCATTGCAAAAAGCCAGGCAGTAAATTGAGATTATTAATTGTACGAAATATATATGATGAGATTATAGACGCACGACACTTTTATTCGCGTGGATGATAAGAATGTAAAATACTCGTATATTCGTATACTTCAAAGCATTGATTTTATTTATTGAGCCAAGAGGAAAATTTATTTCCTTGTTATTCTCTGACCAGGTCTAAAGTCCCCAGCGGTGAGGCTATCTATTGATCTGGATACTCCACGCGAATGAAATGATAGTCTAATTTGGTTACTCAAACATGGAGATACAACTGATGACAGTCTCGGATGATATCGATATGATATCAAATGAGAAATGTATAAATACGTTTTCGAGTTCCTTTATTTAAAACAGTCATGGATTTTTGAAGAGCAGACAGCTTTCAACAGGTTTTGTGAGAGTTTGAATATTGATTGTTGACTTTAGCTATACATAAATCACACCTCATCCGCCCATTGTTGGTATCCTGCGAAGGACTTGCGAACTCGTAGGCTGGTGGTGCAAATTGAAGCTGTCCGGGATGTTCCTCGTGTTCCCGGAGAAGCGGCCAAGGCACGCACCAAGTTAAGTCCGTATACCCACACCCGGCGGCAGATTCTATTAAAATTGCCTGTCATTGCCGTAGCCGGCATCGTTATTGTCCGCTCCTTGGATCCTGGATGGCTGGGCTGCCTCATCCTGGCCCTCTGGTGCCCTTCCTCTGTTCGGAATGGCAGACATGCTTAGTCCCTTGGACGACGATGGCGACGTTGTCTTCTGGCAGGACCATTATTCTTCAACAACGTGCATTATATTATCCTTTGGCTGAAGGCATTTGTATGCTGGTCCCGGGCGCGAATTGCATTTGGGATCGGGTGGTTTCGGCTGCTTCCTGGCTGATTTCTGGGCGGATTCGGTTGGCTCAGCGCACTGGCCTTTCAGCTGTCGTCAGTGCAATTTGTATTGCCGCCCGTA